TCCAAACTCCAGGCAATTGAAAAAATGCAGGTGAAATATATATTCTCATAAATGGAGCAGCGTTCGGCAGAGCCGGCAGTGGGAAAGGTGTTCACTCTTTTTTGCAGAAACAGCATTAGTCCTCATGCACACTTGACGTTTTTACAGCGGCTGTTTTTGGCCTTTGATGTTTTTTTCTACAGCTAGTAAGCCCCCCAACATGTTATCCTATGTGTCCATTCACACATAGGCTGTAATCAACGTTTTTTTTGGCTGGAAAAAAAACCCAGGACTAGTGGGTTTCTAGAGAGAGTTTTTTAGCTGTAAAAATGCTCTAATGCTGAAAACGCAGTAAAATGCGCAAACTGGTGTTTTTGGACTTTTTTTGACCCAAAAACATTTTTTTGGGGGGTAAAAAAATGCTAAAAAACGCAAACTCGGAAAAACTCGGCAAAACACCGCTAAACGCTAATGCAAAAACACACTAAAAAAAAGCTGAGAAACTCACGTTTTTAGCGTGACCTTAGACAGCTAACATTACCTGCATTATCAAAACGTCCCGTGTGCATGAGGACTTGTGGACAATTTGAATTTTGTGCCAGACATGCTTTAGAACACCTATGTGTTCCATTGCAGTGTGTTAATGCACGCATGTTAACCTCGTTTTTTTTTCATGTGTTAACATGTATTGCGTTAAGGCAGATTATTCATTATGAATGAGCTTCCAACACACTACAATGACTGGAAAAATGTGCATGGTCGTTTTTTTACAACATAGCACATTACAATGCACAGGCTGCAATGTGTCAGGCTCTCTTGTACAATGCATTGGAGTGCCACTGCAATGCACTGCACAGAGTAGGTGAGTTACCCTGCATTGTGGTAATACACACTAATGTGTACGTTTTCTCACATGTTGCCATGTCAAACAAGCATGAATGGGCCCTCAGTTGTATTCTGAATAATTACATAGCTGGACTGAAGGGTAGGTTTTTATATCTGCCTGGCTGTATTCACTGAGCCACATAATATTACAGAAGATTACAAACAGAATGCTTAAGGAAGGTTTTGGCTAAATTCATCTGTCAGACATACAGGTTTAAAGCCTCTCACTTAAGTGATAAAAAAACCAGACACTCCGCATGCATTGAAGGGAACACTTTGCTCACAACACACAATGTTAGGGAATCTGATTGGTATCAATGCTGCAACCAAAACACATTAAAGGAAAAGCTTTGGGATTTCATCTTTTTTTTTTTAAAGCTCTTGTGCGATATACATTTTTCTTTCGTCATCCCAGAACTTTTACTGCCATTTGGCATTAACTCCACATCAAAAACTTTGTATTTACATATATACACTTGTATAATTGTCATCTATGAACATCCTGGTGTCTTTGACACTCTATCTCCATGTTCCATCAACTCTGCAAAAACTGAAAATGTAACAGCAACCAAAAGTTTTTTTTTTTTTTTTCTCAAAAGGGTTACAACCATTTTATTGCTGTCTGTTGCCGCGATTGGGAGGTTCATCCTCAATTCCTGTCTTGGTGACACCCTGTTATACCCCAACATATGCATACCTTCCAACAGTACCGAATGTGCAGAACTGCATTTTCACCTTGGTCCCACTGTCATGTGTACAGAGACTTTGTTCCACTTAGCCCTCCTTGCTGTTTAATTACAACCCCTTTATTTGTCATGTTTCTCCTCTCCTACTGAGCATTTTTTTGTGGTCACTCCTGTCCCATTAAGGCAGCCATACATGGATTGAAATTCGATTTCGATTCATGTATGGGTAGGCTGGTTGTACTGAAGTCAATCTACTTGCTTTCCCAACTGATCAGTGCCGCCAGCTATAGCCGGCAACACTGATCAGCAAGTTCTGACGGTGGGGCAGACTTGCCGCTATAAGAACACATAAGCACAGCAGCAAGAATTCCTCCATCCACCTCGAATGTGTAGATGGGGGAATCGGATAATTTTTTTTCATTCAACCCGCTGGCTGAACGAAAAGAAAATGATTAATGTATGGCCAGCTTTACAATGTGCCCACAGCTCATTTATCTGCAAATCACCGCCAGTGCTGTTCTTTCCATGGAGGGAGAGGGAGGAGAGGACTGAGTCCTACTCTGGAGCAGAAGAAGCAGTAAAGCAGCTTGTGTGAGGGAGAGAGGTGTGATTGATGCTGCTCACCCACACTATCCACACTTTGCACCAACACAGTCATCCAGGCACTGGGGGTCCTGTCCTCTGTGAAGACAATGAGAGGTTAGCCATTTTTGGATGGACATGAGGGTTTACTATTCCTCCTTCTTACACCAACCTTGGGGCATATATTCTCTCGCTGACCAGCAGTTATATTACTGGCACTTGTACTCTGCACACAGTGTTATATCTTGCATAGTCCTGACCCCTGCACGGCATTCACTATGTTGTATGTTATACTTCTGATCCCTGCACTGTATGTGCTGTGTACATTCTACTTGCCCTGTATATACTATGTTTTACTATATACTCCTGACCCCTGCACTGCATACTCTGTCATACATTATATTACTGATCCTTGATTTTTTGTTTTGTTACCTGTTGGTTGAACTGGATGGACTTGGTGTCTTTTTTCAGCCAGATTAGGTATGTAACTATGTAAAAATATAGTCACACCCTTTTTTCACTGGATACCCCCACTATTCACCACTATATGACACGTGCACTACATTCTGCCCATTAACAAGTTGTCTCTCTTTGTGAAGTCCAAAAGTTGAGAGGTATGTTCTGTATATGGTATAACAGGATGGTCAGGGTGAATCTCCCAGACAGCAATTAAAACTGGCAGGGGTTCTAACACTTCTCTAGTCTGTTGTAAAACAGGGGTTACACTTTTTTTAAAAAAAGGAATACAATCTTCACGGTCTTTGTACTTGTCATATGTACTTGACTAAAGCCGCTATAAAAATTTAGAAGCATAATATTGTTGTAGTAGGAAATATTTTAACTTCTGTGAGCCATAATTAACTCAAGCTGAGTAGTAAATCTTGCCCTTAGGGTGACCATTTTGCTTTTTTGCCAAAAACACCTTATCTTACTGACAAGCCTTAAAAGGGGGCCATATAGGAAGGCTGTTAACCATTACAGTTAAAGCTCCTATCCAGTGTAGAAGTGCTTACAGGTATGACAGAACAACTAGAAAGGGCATTTATATGTTAGTAGGCCCTGCTTTGGCTCTGGTTGACAATTCCTGGCCAAGCCTGCTTGTGGGAAACAAGACAGCCTAGGATGCTAAGTTTAAGCCGATCACTAGAAATAGGTAGAAACCAACTTCATGACACAAATCTACACCTTTACTCAGAATTTTGAAAGAAGATATTTGTTTAAATGTCATGCATGGTTGTGGATACATATCCTGGTGACAAAGACATTAACCTGTTTAATAATGGTGCATATTTAGCTTATTGTAGGCCTACATGCTAATGTTAACTGGTCATGGTTCATTTGTGTCATTAAACATTCTCTCATTGTGGGTAACAAAAGAATGTGTATATGTTTTGTGTATGACAAGGACATCTTGTAAGAAGATTATGGATGGTGCCACAGGTCGTCTTGTACCCTGTGCTACTATTTATGCCTGGTGTACCACCATTACCTTGACAAACTGTTTTAATAAATTATAATAAACTAATAATATAATAATGTAATTTTGTAGAGATATGTTCATACCTCTCCTTCAATGCATGCATTGTATACTCCAGTGTAGAGGAGTGTGCATGTAAGACAAGAGGTAATGAATGAATTTCCCAACATTGGCCACCATTTAATGTCTGTAGACTGCTTAGAGCCTGCCACTGTCCAAACCCCCAAAACCAGAGCACCCTCTACAGCATTGTCAGACACTTGTAGCCTCCTTCACAGGATGGGAGCATGGGTCATGACTGACAACAGAGCCGTTATGACAAGTTTAGCCCCTCTCTGACAATATTAGACAGCTGTATGTACTACTGCAAAATGTTGAGGTGGATAAGTATCTGCTCATCTCATTCATCCCTCATTGTATCTGAAAATGATAGAGGTGATTGCAACTTGTGACACCGAATGGCATCGCTAAAATTTGGATAGCCGCTGACAGAAAGTCCTATATGCCTTATTATGAGCCCTACACTGAATGGCCTCCCAGTGTTTATATAATCTTAGCCTATTGGTGGCACTGAAAGTAGCATGTATTAGGAAATGGGACAGGATGTCACTGAGGATAAGTTCAAAATAAAAGTGGTTTAAAAGATGGAGAGCTCCTTTTAATATTTCCAACTGCACTAATATAAATAACAGGGATGTCATCTCAGAATGACCATATAAAGGCTGATGTCTTGCTAAAATCTAAGCATTTAGTCACCTTGTCAAGACCTCCTGCGAAATTCTTCCTAATTTGCATGGTATATGCAGTGTGAAAGATTTGATCCCTTCTCTTTCTCTCTATTGAAAAGGAAATAATCAGCCATAAACAAAATTTCCAGCATCTTAGAAAGTCTCATCCTGTACTAAAGATTAGAATCTTACACAGCCCATAGTTCTAAATGGCTTCCATTCTTCATATGGGCATGTGGAAGGGTGTGGTGGAGCATGGCCACTCCTCCAGCTGACTCATTTAGGTCCTTTAATGTCGTCTCACTGACCAGCAGGACAGCGTGGAGGCTGGCAGGGGTGGGGCTACAATAGGCTTTTACAGGAAAGGTTAAGATGCACGTGTACCTTCAGCTGCCTTTATCTTGATGGCTTCCACTGAAGATAATCTCTGTTTAGGCAGCTTTTTTATCATATGGCTTATCTGACTTCCTCTCAAAGAAAAAAATGAAAGAACTGATAGAAAAAGGTAATGTTTTCCCTCCATGCTGTCATTGTCGGTTCATCTGGTGCTTTCCTTCTGTCTTCCATATCTGTAGGATCATTAGTGTCCTGTCCTGTAGCATTATCTGAATGTTGAGTATATTACCCATCTAATCCTGTGAAAGAATCTCTTAAATTTCTCTATCAAACCTGTCCTTTTGTTCTACTCTTTTTTATCTTCTGTTGACTTGTCCCACCAGATTCTTTATCTTGAACAGTTCTTATATATGTCCTGCTTTCCCCTATGCTGAATGTCTTTTCTTCTCTCTCCGTGCTCCCTCTTGCTATGTGTTGTCCATCAGAATCTTTTGCCTTTACTCCATGTATTTTGCTTTCCAAGCGCTCCAATTTTGCCAGATTCTCTTTTAGCAATTTGCTTTCAGGTTCCAAAACTGCGGCCTTCTCATAATAGATTCGGGCAGCGGTGTAATCACCCTGCAACAATCAAAGAGTGAGTGTAAAGACCAATTACAAATGACCACTGAAGAATCTTCTGTCTGCCCTACCATCTGTATAACCCTTATGAACCACAGCAATGTTTTTTTTTTTTTGTATTTTACCTACTGGTCTTGTGATTTCGCTGTAACTTTGTCATTACTTATGACACTAGTAATACATACAGTATATATTCTTTGGTATTAACAATGTATTTTTTGGAGATAGCTTCAAAAAAGTAATTATGTTTTATACTACATTTTATAAAAAATAAAAGAAGAATATAAAAAAAGAAAAAGTATGCATTTTCTTATTTGAACTTTGCTAGCTTTACCACAACTAATATTAGTAGGAAAAGAAAGCAGAGGTAATTGGTAGAAGAGTTAAAGAATAAAGCATTAGTGTAAACTAGAAGAAACCAGATGTAGAAAGTTAGGCTGTGCTAGGAGAAGGATGAGATGGGTGAGGCACACAAACAACAAACACCTTCAGGTTATACTATTGTCTACATGAGAATTGGACACTGGCAAACAAAAAGCAACAGTGGACCAGCCCATGATAACCCCTCCCTCTGCCAGTATGCCCTAGTTTTGCAGCAAAGAATTTCCAAGAGCATGATTATAAAAACAAAGAGGTGAGACCATGTCCATCAATTGACTCCAAGAAAAAGATTTCACGATGTGTACAAAAATCCTGTCTATTTTCTTTCTGAACCGTTGAGGGACAAAACAAGTCTTTAATCTTCCAAAAGCAGCCAACTGAAGGGTGGGCAATACAGCAAAGAAACACTAACAAGCCCAAGAAAACAACTGGGGACTGGGGCTCAATGAGCCACCTGAAGTCTAAAGCTGGCATCATATGAAGCAGAAACACCAACCTGATAGAATGTGTGAACAGAGGGCCAGGTGGCAGATTTGCAAATCTGGAAACAGTGCCTGATGCTGAACAGTTCAAGAAGCACTCGCAGATCTAGCAGAGTGCTCCTTGACAGGAAAGGGCAGAACCTGATCCTTGAGACCATAAGCTTGGTGAAGAAAAAATAATGCTAGTTAAAACAGTTGGCCTTTATACAGTGGAGCTGCAGAAAAGGCTTCCATCCTCCTAGGAAGTTAGCAAAAAATGGCTGCTGTACTGGTATTCTGGGCTGGTCTACAGTTTTTTGTTTGCCAATATCAATTTCTCCTGTATAATCCATACAGTATGTGTCCCTGTGTCCCTCAATGGATGAAAAAATAACACATATTTAAAACTTAAATAAGCTGGGATTGAAAACACACAAACACATAGGGGTTTAATTACTAAAGCTGGAGAGTGCAAAATCAGACTCCCTTCTGCATAGAAACCAATCAGCTTCCAGGTTTCATTGCCAAAGCTTCATTGAACAAGCTGAGGTTAGAAGCTGATTGGTTTCTATGCAGAAGGGAGTCTGATTTTGGACTCTCCAGCTTTAGTAAATAAACCCCATACTGCCATGTGTATAGAAGGAACATTACAGTATGTGCTTTGGTAAAAAAAAGGACTCTAAAAGGAAGAATAAGCTCAGACCAATTGTACCAAATTCAATATACTGTTCTTCTACTATCACATCCCCACATCCCTCATATTACCTGTATGTGTTTGATGCCTCCCATATTCATCCAGGCCTGTGCCTGTTTGGGACTCAGATCAGCTACAAGGCTGTAACTCTAAAAAAAAAAAAAAAGAAAAGGAAGGGTTAGGAAGGATTAGGATTAGATCTCCTCTCAGGTTTTTACTGCTCTCCAGGGCTCCATTAGAGAGATTTACACTCACTTCCTGTTCTGCTGACAACAGTTTTTAAACAGACAGAATGTTAGGGAAAATATGCAACAGGGACACAGACAAAAATAAATAAAACTGACAGGGTCTATAGCCCTCCCTTACTCTACTAAACAAAAGCCTTTTAATTCCTTTCTCCTGAAGAGTTCCCCTTGTTTCTTGTCTGGTAAAACGTCAGCTCAGTGAGGAGAAACCTCTCTATTAAAAATGGGTTGTGGATGGGTGTTCCAGCATGACAATGACCCAAAACACATGGCCAAGGCAACAAAGGAGTGGCTCAAGAAGAAGCACATTAAGGTCCTGGAGTGGTCCAGCCAGTCTCCATACCTCAATCCGATTGAAAATCTATGGAGGGAGCTGAAAGTTTGAGTTGCCAAACGTCAGCCACCAAACCTTAATGACTTGGTAAGGATCTGCCAAGAGGAGTGGGCCAAAATCCCTCCTGAGATGTGTGCAAACCTGGTGGCCAATTACAGGAAACGTCTGACCTCTGTGATTGCCAACAAGGGATTTGCCACCAAGTACTAAGTCATGTTTTGTGGAGGGGATCAAATACTTATTTCCCTCATGAGCATGCAAACCAGGGCATCATTTGTTAGACATGCATTTCTTTTGAATTTTTTGTTGCTATTATGTCTCTCGGTGTTACAATACATCTACCATTCGATTTTTAGACTGATCATTTCTTTGTGAGTGGGCAAACATTCAAAATCAGCAGGGGATCAAATACTTATTTCCTTCACTGTATATGGTAACAGTTTGGTAGAAGGCACTTTTCTGTTACCTATGCCCAATGACAGCTTCATAAAGACAAAGTTTGACCACTTTGGTGTGGAGGAACTCAAGTGGTCTGCAAAGAGCCTTGATCTCAACCATACCTAACACAACAGGGGTGAGTTGGAACACTGATTGATAGCCAGGTCATCCAACATCAGTATTAGAGATGAGCGAATCGAACATGACGAAGTGGAATTCGTTCCGAAGATTTGGAAAAATTCTATTTGCGACGAATCCGCAGATTAGCAAACTTCGGATGCACGAATCGAATTTTCCCAAAAATGGCAGCGACATGTGTGGCGACGGAGAAAATGGACAGAGAAGATGGGGCGGGGATCTCTGGGAAGGCGCGCAGACAAGGCGCGCTGACCCATAATGCATTCATGACATGTGATCGCATTAGCCAATCAGCAGCCAGCCAGCACTGTGTAATGGTGGAGCTATAAATCGCGGCCATCTTAGAATTCTCCATTAGCCTCCGGTCATTCAAGAGAGACAGACCTGTGTGTAATAAGGGACAGAGTTAGGGCCACAGAGACTTTAGGGCCACAGAATCGTTACTCAGGGACACAGAATCGTCACTCAGGGACACAGAATCGTTACTCAGGGACACAGAATCGTTACTTAGGGCCACAGCTATCAAAGAATCGAAAATTTAAAGTGACATACACCCTTTTTTTTTTTGGTGGCTGTCGTGCACAGTTGGTGCTGCAGTTTGCCGATTGTGCAAAATAAACTGACTTTCTGCTTCACAACCACTATTGTACGTTCAAAGAGTTAAATCCATTTACACGCCGGCTGGCGGTAATATTTTTTTGGGTGATTAGTGCATTCCAGTGACACAAACGTACAGTTTCCAGCCAACGGCAAGCTGCAATTGACCGATTGTGCTAAATAAACTGACTTTCTGCTTCACAACCACTATTGTACGTTCAAAGAGTTAGATCCATTTACACGCCGGGTGGGCGGTAATATTTTTTGGGTGATTAGTGCATTCCAGTGACATAAACGTACAGTTTCCAGCCAACGGCAAGCTGCAATTGACCGATTGTGCTAAATAAACTGACTTTCTGCTTCACAACCACTATTGTACGTTCAAAGAGTTAAATCCATTTACACGCCGGCTGGCGGTAATATTTTTTGGGTGATTAGTGCATTCCAGTGACAGAAACGTACAGTTTCCAGCCAACGGCAAGCTGCAATTGACCGATTGTGTACAATAAACTGACTTTCTGCTTCACAACCACTATTGTACGTTCAAAGAGTTAAATCCATATACACGCCGGCTGGCGGTAATATTTTTTGGGTGATTAGTGCATTCCAGTGACATAAACGTACAGTTTACAGCCAACGGCCAGCTGCACCTCGGGAATTGCTTTGTATATCTGTCGCCTTAGAGGCCGCTGTCTGAACAGCTCATGAATTGCTTTCTATATGTGTCGCCTTTGAGGCCGCTGGCTGGACAGCTGATGAATTGATTTGTATATATGTACTTATTGTCCGCTGTCCGGGACAGCTCATGAATTACTTTTTGTATATAGCCTTCCAAACCACTCTCAGAATAAGTCATGATATTCATGCTGTGTATAGCCTTATAGGCCAATGGTCAATCAAGTCATGATTGTTATAGTGTGTATAGCCTTATAGGCCACTTTCTGGCATCCAGTTGCTGTAGCCCCCATCACACACTGTGCCATGGGCCCCTGTACCGCCTTCTCATACTGCTGCCAGATCCATCCTCTGCCATGTGCGTATTTGTCGTCTGCTCACGCTGCTGGGTTCCAGTTTTAAACCTAGGCCTGTGTATGGCTTCCGAATACTGCTGCCTCCACCGCCACCCTGCGCCATGTGCCTCTGTGGTCTGCTCACGCTGCTGACGGCTTCCCCTTTTTAACCTAGGCCTGTGTATGGCTTCTGAATACTGCTGCCTCCACCGCCACCCTGCGCCATGTGCCTCTGTTGTCTGCTCACGCTGCTGACGGCTTCCGCTTTTTAAAACTAGTTCTGTGTATGTCTTCCGAATACTGCTGCCTCACCGCCACCCTGCGCCATGTGCCACTTTCGGGTCTCCTCACACTGCTGCCAGGTCCATACTGATTCATGGCCCCCTGTACCCGGCTCCTCATGAACGTGGTTCAGCGGGTTTGCAGCACTTAACGGCAAATCGTTGACAAATGCTGGGACGTTCAGTGTTGTGCGCATTAAGCCAGACACCAAAGGGCAGCACAGACCTGTTATTACTCGCTCAAGCATGGCTGAACAAAACCAGTCTCTACCACAAATTGGACCCAGACCTGCCCAGGGTCTCGTAACTAGATTGCACGGAGGAGTAGAGTCCGTTATCGGAATTAAATAGACAAAACGCCACACCAAAAAGAGTGGCCATTTCCAACACTTATTCCAGAAAGGGAACAACCCGTTTCATATACGGCCCGTAGACGTTTCACGTCTGCCACATTCAGTCGATTTAAGACGCAAGCTCCACTTCCTGTGGTCTCTGACCGTCGATATACCTTTAAGTGTCAGCTTTGAAGCTATATTCCCTCCGGAGCACTGACAACTGGTCGTGCCCTTCCGTCAACATGCCTTTAAGTTTCAGTTTTCAACCATATTCCCCACAGAAGCCAAACTCTTGGGTATCCCAGAAGCTGCTCAGCGGGTCAGGGCAATAAAGCTCCCGGTTCGCAGGTTGTTCCGTCTTATGGATGGAAGTACGACGGTATATGATCTTCTTCGCACCCACGGCAATTACCTCATAAAATTTCTGCATTGCATCTGCAATCACAACGCTGACTTCCCGGATCGCCACTCAGCCATTGGAGTCTTGATAGTCGTCTCCCCACACTGCTGCTGGGGGGACTTTTTAACCTAGGCCTGTGTATGCCTTCAATTGAAGCTGCTTCCGCTCCGCCACTCTGCCATTGGACTCTTGATAGTCGTCTCCCCACGCTGCTGCTGGGGGGACTTTTTAACATAGGCCTCTGTATGGCCTTTAATTGAAGCTGCTTACGCTCCGCCACTCTGCCATGGGCCTCTTGGGTATCCCAGAAGCTGCTCAGCGGGTCAGGGCAATAAAGCTCCCCGGTTCGCAGGTTGTTCCGTCTTATGGATGGAAGTAACGACGGTATATGATCTTCTTCGCACCCACGGCATCACCTCATAGAATCTCTGCATTGCATCTGCAAATCACAGCGCTGACTTCCCGGATCGCCACTCAGCCATTGGACTCTTGATAGTCGTCTCCCCACACTGCTGCTGGGGGGACTTTTTAACCTAGGCCTGTGTATGGCCTTCAATTGAAGCTGCTTCTGCTCCGCCACTCTGCCATTGGACTCTTGATAGTCGTCTCCCCACACTGCTGCTGCTGGGGGGGACTTTTTAACATAGGCCTCTGTATGGCCTTTAATTGAAGCTGCTTACGCTCCGCCACTCTGCCATGGGCCTCTTGGGTATCCCAGAAGCTGCTCAGCGGGTCAGGGCAATAAAGCTCCCGGTTCGCAGGTTGTTCCGTCTTATGGATGGAAGTACGACGGTATATGATCTTCTTCGCACCCACGGCATTACTTCGTTGAATTTTCTGCATTGCATCTGCAATCACAATGCTGACTTCCCGGATCGCCACTCAGCCATTGGACTCTTGATAGTCGTCTCCCCACACTGCTGCTGGGGGGACTTTTTAACCTAGGCCTGTGTATGGCCTTCATTGAAGCTGCTTCCGCTCCGCCACTCTGCCATTGGACTCTTGATAGTCGTCTCCCCACACTGCTGCTGGGGGGGATTTTTTAACATAGGCCTCTGTATGGCCTTCAATTTAAGCTGCTTACGCTTCGCCACTCTGCCATGGGCCCCTGTAGCCCGCCCTCCTCATGCTGCTGCCAGGTCCAGAGTGTGTCATGGGTCCCTGTACGGCCTCCCATTGCTGCTGACTTCATCGCCAGAACTCTGCCAAGTGTGGCACTTTCAGGTCTCCTTACACTGTTGGTGGGTTCCATTTTGTGATAGGGTGCTGTATGGCCTTCCATTGCTGCTGCCTCCACCGCCACCCTGCGCCATGTGCCTCTGTCGTCTGCTCACGCTGCTGACGGCTTCCGCTTTTTAAACCGAGGCCTGTGTTTGGCTTCCGAATACTGCTGCATCCACCGCCACCTGCGCCATGTGTGTCTCTGTCGTCTGCTCACGCTGCTGACGGCTTCCGCTTTTTAACCTAGGCCTGTGTATGGCTTCAGAATAATGCTGCCTACACCGCCACCCTGCGCCATGTGCCTCTGTCGTCTGCTCACGCTGCTGCCAGGTCCATACTGATTCATGGCCCCCTGTACCGGCTCCTCATGAACGGGTTCAGCGGGTTTACATCACTTAACGGCAAATCGTTGACAAACGCTGGGACGTTCAGTGTTGTGCGCATTAAGCCAGACACCAAAGGGCAGCACAGACCTGTTTATTACTCGCTCAAGCATGGCTGAACAAAACCAGTCTCTACCACAAATTGGACCCAGACCTGCCCAGGGTCTCGTAAGTAGATTGCACGGAGAGTAGAGTTCGTTATTGGAATTAACTGTGAGGGACTTTTAAAACCTAGGCCTGTGTATGATGGCCTTCAATTGAAGCTGCTTCTGCTCCGCCACTCTGCCATTGGACTCTTGATAGTCGTCTCCCCACGCTGCTGCTGGGGGGACTTTTTAACATAGGCCTCTGTATGGCCTTCAATTTTAGCTGCTTACGCTCCGCCACTCTGCCATGGGCCCCTGTACCGCCTCCTCATGCTGCTGCCAGGCCCTAATCTGCCATGGGCCCGCGTACCGACTCCTCATGCTGCTGCCAGGCCCGTAATCTGTCATGGGCCCCTGTACCGCTCCTCATCATGTGCTAGCCAGGTCCAGAGTGTGTCATGGGTCCCTGTACGGCCTCCCATTGCTGCTGTCTCCATCGCCACACTCTGCCATGTGCCACTTTCAGGTCTCCTCACACTGCTGGTGGGTTCCATTTTGTCATAGGGTGCTGTATGGCTCCCATTGCTGCTGCCATCCACCGCCACACTGTGGCTCCACACTCTGGTTTTTGGCCCCGTGACTGCCCAAATGAGTGAAGTGTGCGGTGATTCTTAAGATCGACGGCACTCATCTGCATGTCATACTGACTGACAGTATTATTTCTCTTCCCCAGCAGACTCCAAGGGCATTTAAATTAAAGGTACAGTGTTCTGCACTATTATAAAGGCTCTCTGAAGCCTAGAAAACACCCTTTTTATAAGTTAAATTCGCAGCGAATATATTCGGCTCGAAGCGAATTTATTCGGCGAATTCGGCGAATCAGTCCGTAATCAGTATCTGATCTAAAAAAATGTACTTTAGGTTCAATGGTCACTACTCCCTACAGACACTCAAAAATCTTGTATAAAGCCTTCCTAGAAGTGTGGAGGCTGTTATACCCACAAAGGAGGAGTCAACTCAATATCACTGTCCATTGGTTTGACAGGAGATGTTTAACAAGCTTATATGGGTGTGATGGTCAGGTACTCACAAACCATTGTCTATAAAGTGTATCATCATGCAAGGGATACCTGGAAGGCTTTGTCCAGTTGGTTAAGCTCTCGCAGTTGGTTGCCTTTTGTAAAATGAAGATCAGATATGATTTTAGGGTCTTTTGGCTTCATCTGCAGGGCAATATCGATCATTTCTAAAGCCTGCAGAACAGGAAGAAATTACATTTTAACTCACAGAAATAAATGTGACTATCTACCTGCTGTTTCTGGTGATATCCACATGTCTATGACAGTTTTGAAAGCCTAGTCTAAAAGGTATCAGATTTGAGGATGCCTAATTGAGCTTCCTTCTCTCCATAGACATTAACACGTATATGCAGTAAAAGTATATTAAATTTATATTGTTGTTGTCATTCACAAGTATGGGGGGAGGAGTAAATATAGAGAAACTGAATATGTGTTCTGGCAGCTTCTACACACCAAAGGATTTCCACAATCAGATCACCTTGGGCTGTGCCAAGGATGAGTGACAATAAGATTTAAGTGCCACACCCTGATATTTAAATCCAGATAAAGTTTATTCCAATGACAAGATGTTTACAAAGCCAATGTGTTTCTGCAGCTGTAGCTCTGCCTCCTTCATCAGGGCTTAAGATGTATGTGGACTCAGCATTAAATGTATTGCTAGGTGTTATGGCAATGGTGTGGATTTACACAGCATATGTCAACAGCTGCTTCTAAATTACTACTGAGTCTGCATACATTGTTTCATTTTCTTAATCCCTGATGAAGGGAGCAGAGCTGCAGCCTTTAAAATGTGTTGGGTTTTCAAAAAACTGTCCTTAAAGTCAATTTGTATCTGGACTTGAATACCACAGTGTGGCACTTCAGTTGTCAGTTAACACAGCCTTTAATTGTATCTAAGGGGTGAGACGCCACTCTAACCGGACCCTGTGCTCAGTGGCCATGAAAACACGTTTTCATGGCCAATTAGGCTAATATAAGTCTCTGTCCTGCTTGTATCTCTCACCTCTGTGACCAAGCCCTGATGGGCAGGAGGAAATGTGTTAGTGCCCATGGCCAGAACGGCACTGGCTGAGGCCATATAAACTAACATATTCCAAGAGCACAGGGTCCAGTTTAGAGTGGCATCTCACACCTTACATGCAGCACTTCTGGATTATGTGAATGGATGCCTGCTCCCGCTTCATAGATACCGGTAGGGGAAGGATTATAGCCTCTGCTTGGAGCAGCGCTTCAAGCCTTTCATGACCACAGCCTTTTATTGTGGTCTGTTTCCTGCTGAACAATTTTCTCTGGCTTATTCTCTGGTAAAAGGTTGTCCTCAGAGTAGGAAGAGAGCGGGCATCTCTCTAATATACCTTTGGATAGCAGTAAAGCTTGCCAGGGGTTCTAAAACCAAGTTCATCCAAAAATATTTTGGGTACAGATACACTCTGAGTTAAGTATTCATGTTTATGGAACACACCTATATGGGACTGTTGTATCTGGGATTACATGAATGCTAGGATTTGTTGTTTGTCTGTCACTGTAGACTGGGAGTGGATAATCCATCTGAACGGTTGTAAATTAGTTTTTCTGGTTAGAGTTGTCTGTCTTTCTCATCGGTTAGAGACATTAATAACTTCCTCCTAAAATATGGATGCTTCTTTAAACTATATCTCTTGAGTACCAGAACACAAATGCTGAGTTGTGCACGGATCGCTAACTACTATATCTTGTGTCCAGATCATGTCTGTGTAGCTGGAGATCCCTCAAATTCAGCAACACAACTGTGTGTGTAGTCCTGAACTTTGCTCTAACTTCAAACCACTGATTACCTCACTCTTGGCCACTTACAGTCATGGCGAAATTGTTGGCACCCTGATATTTTTCCTGAAAATCAAGTATTTCACACAAAAAAGGTATTGCATTAACACATGTTTTGCAATTATACACATGTTTATTCCCTTTGTATGTATTGGAACAAATATAAAAACAGAGGCAGAAAAGCAAATATGACATAATGTCACACAAAACCCCAAAAATGGGCTGGACAAAAGTATTGCACCCTTAACTTAATATTTGGTTGCACACCCTTTGGAAAACATAACTGAAATCAGTCGCTTCCTATAACCATCAATAAGCTTCTGACACCTCTCACCCGGAATTTTGGACCACTCTTCCTTTGCAAACAGCTCCAGGTCTCTCTTATTGGAAGGACAACCTTTTCCCAACAGCAATTTTAAGATCTCTCCACAGGTGTTCAATGGGATTTAGATCTGGGCTCATTGCTGGCCACTTCAGAACTCTCCAGCGCTTCTTTGCCATCCATTTCTGAGTGCTTTTTGACGTATGTTTGGGGTCATTGTCCTGCTGGAAGACCCAGGATCTTGGACGCAAACCCAGCTTTCTGACACTGGGCCCTACAGTGCGACCCAAAATCCTTTGGTAATCCTCAGATTTCATGATGCCTTGCACACAGTCAAGGCACCCAGTGCCAGAGGCAGCAAAACAACCCCAAAACATCATTGAACCTCCACCATATTTTACCGTAGGTACTGTGTTTTGTTCTTTGTAGGCCTCATTCCGTTTTCGGTAAACAGTAGAATGATGTGCTTTACCGAAAAGCTCTATCTTGGTCTCATCTGTCCACAAGACGTTTTCCCAGAAGGCTTTTGGCTTACTCAAGTACATTTTGGCAAACTGTAGTCTTGCTTTTTTATGTCTCTGTGTCAGCAGTGGGGTCCTCCTGGGTCTCCTGCCATAGCGTTTCATTTCATTTAAATGTCGACGGATAGTTCGCGCTGACACTGATGCTCCCTGAGCCTGCAGGACAGCTTGAATGTCTTTTTGGAACATGTTTGGGGCTGCTTATCCACCATCCGGACTATTCTGCGTTGCAATCTTTCATCAAATTTTCCTCATCCGTCCACGACCAGGGAGATTAGCTACAGTGCCATGGGTTGCAAACTTCTTGATAATGTTTGCGCACTGTGGACAAAGGCAAATCTAGTTCTCTGGAGATGGACTTGTAACCTTGAGATTGTTGATATTTTGCCACAATTTTGGTTCTCAGGTCCTCAGACAGTTCTCGTCTCCTCTTTCTGTTGTCCATGCTTAGTGTGGCACAGACAGACACACATGCAAAGGTTAAGTGTGAACGTCTCTCCTTTTTATCTGCTTTCAGGTGTGATTTCTATATTGCCCACACCTGTTACTTGCCCCAGGTGAGTTTACAGGAGCATCACATGCTTGTAACATTCTTATTTATCCGCAGTTGTGAAAGGGTGCCAATACTTTTGTCCAGCCCATTTTTTGGAGGTTTGTGTGACATTATGTCGAATTGCTTTCTTTCCTCCCTTTTTTTGTTTTTGTCCCAATACACACAAAGGGAAATAAACATGTGTATAGCAAAACATGTGTTAATGCATTACGTTTCGTGAGAAATACATGATTTCCTGGAGAAATATCAAGGGTGCCAACAATTTCGGCCATGACTGTATATGTCTAACTAAATGGTGAGATTTATTTATTTTTATTTATTACAGGTACCTAACTCACATTCATACATACACATACTAGGGCCAATTTAGACAGGATCCAATTAACCTACCAGCATGTCTTTGGAGTGTGGAGGAAACCGGAGATGATGGGGATTGTTGCCATGGCAAGTCAAAGCAAAGTCAAGGCCTATATCTTTTGGTTTCAGGGAATCTTGATGCTGGTAGTGGGTTCTTTGTTCGGTTGGGGAACTGACTGGCTGTCCTGACTGATTTTATCAATTCTAAGGGACTAAATGTCACATAAGAGTACCTTTGATATATTTCTCCCTGCTTGCTGTAGATGGCAGATAGGAGACGATAACACTCTATACAGTCTGGTGCATCTGCTGCTATACGGTGAGTTAGAGTCTCTGCCTCATTTGACTGACCCATCACTGCCTGGACTTGGGCCTGCAGGGCAAAGTGGACATCAGAGAAGGAGAAGAAAAACAGATCCAAAGCTAGATAAAATACATAATGGATTAGAAAATGCAAAGCATGCAAAAGGAACATGAACAGTAGCAATACTGAGAAAAAATTAATTATGTAGAAAATATTAAGAAAGTTTAAAATGGGGTAATATTCACTAAAAGAAATGTGGACAGTGTCTAGGGCAGCAGGAGAAAGGCTTGGTTCACACCTATGCTTTTTGCTTTTTATCCATTTTAATGCTGTTTGCATTGTGCTTTGCAATTTTACATGGATGTTTTTGCCGCATTTTGTGTTTTGTTTTTTTTTTTCAGCTTTTGTTTGTTAAATTTGAAATTTTGCTTGCTGCTGGCAGAAGAAAAAAAACACAAAACGTGGCAAAAACACACTACAGCAACCTCTCTAATGTAGAAAAACACTGCTTTAAAAAAAGTCCCTGACCCTTTCTGCAAATGCAGCAGCTCAAAAAGGCATACATGTGAACATAGCCCATAGGAAACCATATTAAATGGACTGCAGTACGTTTTTGCAAAAAGCACTAAAAAATGCACTGGTGTGAACCAGGGCAAAATGTGAAAGCAGCTTTATTTTTCTTAGTCTGGCCACCAAACCTAGCAGCAGTATTAAAAGTGAAGAGAGGGGTACTAGAGGAGGAATCACAAGACTCTTTAGATTAGGTAAGATTTGATAATGTTTTCCTTCTCTGTGGGTTTTTGACTGGACTGTGTAGTACTTTTAAGCCTTCCCTCAAGTCTTGGACAATTGTACAGGCACCTTTCATGGACTGAAATTGAAACTGTGCATGACTGCACACAGTGAGCTTCTCACAGTGTTTATTAGAAGCTGCAGCAAGTAAAATGGAGCTAACTTCATTTCCTTGCTGGAGGACTTCCAGCATTATCCATCTCTCTAGCTGACTGTCCCTGACCCTCCCTTTTCTTTTGGATTTCTGTTGTTTGTAGGTTCAGTATCTAATGTGGGTATTATTTAGGCTAGTATGCATGCAAATACCGCCTAACCACTCTTCCAGACTGATATTCACCTAGCAAGGCATTTAGTTATATGCCTAATGCCTGCTTACACCAGGATTGAAGGCTCTTGGGAGGAGTACTGAGGCAGACTGCTGTGATGTTTTCAGGAAGCTTTGTACATCACCTAGCCTGTCCCTCTTACCAACCATGATCTATATCACCTAGCCCGTCCCTCCTACCAACCATGATCTACATCACCTAGCCTGTCCTTCCTACCAACCATGATCTACATCACCTAGCCTGTCCTTCCTACCAACCATGATCTACATCACCTAGCCTGTCCTTCCTACCAACCATGATCTACATCACCTAGCCTGTCCTTCCTACCAACCATGATCTACATCACCTAGCCTTTCCCTCCTAACAACCATGATTACATCACCTAGCCTGTCCTTTCTACCAACCATGATCTACATCACCTAGCCTTTCCCTCCTACCAACCATGGTCTACATCACCTAGCCTGTCCTTCCTACCAACCATGATCTACATCACCTAGCCTTTCCCTCCTACCAACCATGGTCTACATCACCTAGCCTTTCCCTCCTACCAACCATAATCTATATCACCTAGCCTGTCCCTCCTAGCAATTATGGTCTACATCACATAGCCTTTCCCTCCTACCAACCATGATCTACATCACCTAGCCTGTCCCTCCTACTAACCATGATCTACATCACCTAGCCTATCCCTCCTACCAACCATGATCTACATCACCTAGCCTGTCCCTCCTACCAACCATGATCTACATCACCTAGCCTTTCCCTCCTACCAACCATGATCTACATCACCTAGCCTGTCCCTCCTACTAACCATGGTCTACCTGCATTGCAGTCAAGCACAGAGACCCAGTGAAGACATCACTGGGTTTGAAATAAGTTATGAACTGAAAACAAGTTTTATTTACAAAAAAAATCAGTAGCATGCTGATGAAGGGGGACAGGGAGGAACCAGAGAAGGCAAAACATAAGCAGATCAAACTTCTCCTTTAAGAAGTTTGCACATAACAGAGAAAATCACCTCTGAATAATAATAAACCTTCAGATGTTCAATGGAGCTAGATACATAAAAAAGCGATCCATCTTCTGTGCGCGTACTTTAAATATGTTCAGGGACCCCTTCCAGATACTATCCTAAGCACTTACCAGTGACAGTCGTAATAGGACATTCTCTTGGTGAAGTCCCACTGCCTCTTTATACAGACGTAAGGCCTCGTCATATTTCCCTGTATTATAATACAGGGCTCCAAGAGGGGTGATGACATCAATGTCCCGAGATATCTGTAAAGCCCTGGTCAAGACACAGAAGGAAAACCCATATATCTTTACACTTATTTTATTTTTAATATAGGTAATGTGACACAACTGACTTTACTAGCTTTCAGTGATATCAGAGGTGATATCAATGCTTTCCAAGAATAAGCAAAGAGGAGGAACATTTCCGTACTGTATTTTCATCTCATATTATGGACAGTAAGGAGTGAGTCAGATTTGAAGCCAATAAGATGAATCCACAGCAATCAGATGTTTAGGGATCTGACTGCGAAGTAAGGAAGTACTTTTAGGCCTCTTTCACACGTGCGTTCCCGTATGTCCGTTTTTCATCTGTCCGTTTATGGATGAAAAACAGACACCCATGTATTTCTATGGACTAGTGGATGTAAACAGATGATCATCCATTTACTTCCATTAATCTCTGTATCCATTACCATAGGTTTTTTTAATGGAAGAAAACCCTATTTTCCTTCCGTAAAAAAACCCTGGAACGGACAAAAACGGATGTAAATGGACAAAACTGACATAAATGGATGTAAAACGCATGTACATGGATGAAAAAAAACTGATAAAAAAAACAGGTAAACTGATGAAAAACGGATGTAAACTGATGAAAAACGGATGTAAACTGATCCTTTTTTTCTTTGAAAAAAACGTCACTGAACTGTTGAAAAAAACGGAATGCCCGTGTGAGAGGACCCTTACACCCTTTCTGGTTCACTCTTTGCATGCAATGAGCAGTGGCTCTCACACCCATTATCATTTTTTTTAACTGACATCATGACAACATAACATATCCCTAAGACTGTGTTGCCTATTTTCCAATAAGTGGGAGCTAACATTCACCTTGAGCAGGAGAGGGACTGGGACCCATGTTGCTAAATAAAAGGAGCTTAATTATTAGACTGCCAAGGGGTGCAGAGGATACCTTCACTAGTTCACTAAATTTCATGATTGAATCATAAAAATGAATTGCAAGTTTGTATTTGCTAATCATAGGAGAATCACTTGTTAATAATTATGGACAATGCAACAGGAGGACTGGGAAAGCTCTGGAGTGGGCATGTACACCCTGAGGTGGGTGGGAACAACTCACACCAAAGTGGGCAGCACCAAAATGGGGCAGGAACATTTTAGTGACTTAGCAGCCCATAGATTATGCAATTTTTGGGTGAAAGGAAAGAAAATTGCTCAACACAGTCAATGTTCACAGGGTAATCCCTCCTGAAGCACTATTGTGTTCTGCCAGCTGCTAGCCTTCCATGCCAGCATAACACAATGATCACTGCTGGCAGCTATAGCCGCTGGCAGTGATTGCATGAAAAAAATCCAACAGGCTGGTCATATTGAAGTGGATCGATGGATGACTTCAGTAAAACCAGCCTGCTCATAGGTGGATTGAACCTCGACCGTTCCCTGCTGAACCAGCCAAGATTCCATCCATCTATGATCGGGTTTAGCCTTCAAGATATACTAGAAGCCAGCAAATCAAATAGCCCAGCAGAATCTACCTATGTGCAAAATATTATTTTTTTATGGATGTATGTCTTTACCATAGACATTAGACAACAGCTGAGCTGGTATAATGAGGCTGATTTACTAAAGGAGTTAATAAATACATTCAGTAAAGATTCATTTGTATTATCCAATCATGCAAAAGCATAATCCCGTTTATTTCATCTACACATGATTGGGTATTTAAAATAAAAGCAGCTACAATTTTCTTGATTGAGGATTCCTAATTCCTTTAGTGAATCAACACCAATATGTTTGAGTTAAAGATCCCCCCCCCCCAAACCCAGAAGGTGCCTTACTTTTTGTACCACTTCTCAGCCTCCCTATTTTGGTTCAGAGATCGGTAAAGGCGGCCGAGGTTCAGCATGGCCACATGGTGATTTGGACGCAGCTGTAGCGCTAGGAGATAATGAGATACAGCTTTCTGCGGAGCTCCTGGAACAGAAAGTCACACTGATTGACATTTAATTAGCTAAAGCACTGTCTATCATAGACAATTGCCATTTTTTATCAATAAAATGCTTGTTTTACACTTTTTCATCCATTTTTGCATCTCTACCCTACTGATCTCCTGCAGCCTCTGTGCAGACATTTCTATTCCCATGTCCTACACTGATGAATGCATTGCATTTCCATTCTGTTTCCTGATACTGATAACAGGGGACCGTGCCTGTGCAATGTGCATCCGCACAACAACTTGTATTCTTGACTGGGTCTGCATGTGACAGGGTGACAGCACAGAAGGACAATTGAGAGACAGGGACAGAGTGTTGTCACCCAATACCATGAAGTGTCTGAACAAGGACCTTCATGGCAGGCTCACCAGGGATTATTTTAAAGAAAGCTGCAGACTTTAAAATATTGAAAATGACTTTTAAAATGGCATTGACATATTGAAGATCGTTTAATATTTAAATGATTGAGCTTACATCTACTTTAGGTCACATAACCCTTCAAAAATCAAGGCTGAGGCAGCCAAAAATGTAGTAAGGATCCACAGCAATGAAAACATTTTTATCATTATTCATATAGTAGCAAAATATTCTGCAGTGCTGGAAAAATCATAAAAAAGATAAGAAAAGGTAGAAACACAGGTCTTGTGCACAGGAGCTTATGATCCAAAGGAAAAGAGGGAAATAGAATCATGAGAAGCAAGCGCTTATTTTTACAAGGGTCCAGCCAAATCTGAGTACAAACCAAAATAATTTTTTAACAATGGTGCATGAAGAGGCCCCCCAGCTAGGGAGAGAGGCTGTTAATAAAGTGCAGATGTGCTGGATTTTGTTGAAATGGGATAACAATGGCTGGAGGGAATGTAATGACTGAGTATAATAAGTTGTAATGAAAAGCAGAAAAGATAAAGTACTTAAGGCAGGACTAAAGTCTGTTGGGTGGGGGTGGGCTCTTCTCATAAAGTAATCAGAGCAAAAGTGCACATTATGGCACAATTACATACAAGAGTTCACAACCTCTGCTCCACCCTCGCTGCGTCTTCAGGTTCCTGCGTCACTCCTTTCTGGCCACTGTGCAAAGCTAATGACTATCCTCTTCTCTGTGCCAGTGCTGACCAATCCTTACTGATACAAATGATGCCAGTTGCATTCTCAGGATTCTTACACTGAGAGTGCAGGGTGCTGCGGTGACTCCCTTTAAAAGCGTAGGCCTATGACACCCGACACTCAGAGGAAGTGGGTTAAATGAATCTTGGCATCATTTAACCCAGAAGACCAAGGATATCAGTGGCAAAGGAACTACTAAGCAGGGCTATGCAGAGAACAAATTAGTAGGACATTGCGGGAGACATTGTGGCGGTAATGGGGAGAGCAGACTAGGGACAATTACTATAGGGACAAGCAAATTAGTATGTAGGGATCTGCTGTCCTGTACTGTTAGCTGCTAATATCACAGTGTTATGTTTAAAGTGATACTAAAGGTTAATTTTTTTTTGTAAACTAACAAGCATGTCTATACTTTCCTGCTCTGTGCAGTGGTTTTGCACAGAGCAGTCTGGATCCTCCTCTTCTCAGGTCCCTCACAGTCTCTCCTGGCTCCTCGTTTCTGTCGGGTGCCCCCAAAGCAAGCAGCTTGCTATGGGGGCACCCGCTGCTCCAAGCGTCCATTCACACACGGACCTGTGCCATGGCCCCGCCCCTCTCTCTCCTCATTGGCTGAATGAACAATGGCTCCCGCTTGCTGTCTCAGCCAATGAGGAGACAGAGACCCGGGACAGCCAAGGCTGTATTGCACATCGCTGGATCTCGATGAGGCTCAGGTAAGTATTGAGGGGGCTGTGGGCACTGCTGCACTCAAAAGGTACCTTAAGCCTTTACAACTGCCTTAATATGTATTAAAGCGGAACTTCACCCAAAAGTCCTGCTTTTCCTCCTCCTCTCTCATATTTAGAATTTTTTTTGGGGGGAGCAGGTACTTGTTTTGATGATTTTAACAGGTACCCACTCCCACTTTCTCTCCGACCGCCTAGGCAAATGAAGTGGAAGTCCCTCCCCCCTCCTTTCCCTGCAGCCTCTTGGGACATGTCACAGGTCCCAGGAGACTGCAGGACCATTCATGGGGCACAGCACTGCTCAGGCATGTGCTGTGGGCAGCTAGCTGTGAAGCCGCAAGAAGTCACAATTGGCTACCCACAGTTAAGTTGCCTGCAGCTGGACCCAAAGACCAACAAATAGCTGGGTCGAGTGAGGACATTGCTGTATCCTGGGCCAGGTAACTGTGTGTTTTTTAAAAGTCAGTAGCTACAGTATTTGTAACTGCTGACTTTTACATTTTTGTTTACAAGGTGAAATCCTCTTTAACACTTTCTGTCCCTGATGGATGGCTTAAAAACCCCAGAAAGAGGAAGTGGAGAGAGAGAGAGAGAGAGAGAGGAACTGACACCACATGTCCACACACAGGAGCTGCATTATTGCAGTACTGTATTTTATCCAGTCCAGAAACTGAGACTATTAGATAATTGTTCCTATGTTCTGGCTGTTTTACTGCAGCTGTCCATAACTTCTTGACCAGAATGCTACGGAAAGACAAGTATCTGTCCTATTGTTATTATCTCTCATGCACAGTGCATGAGCTAGGTTTGTGCTGCTGTACGTATGGTTTGTAGTGGTCAACTTACAGTATATTAGCAGATGAACTTGTTTATTGCAATATTGCTGCAGTGCTCAGGGCGAAAATGGCAAACTGGACCCTTCCCCCCCCCTCCCCCTATTCTTATGGTTCTCTACTTGAAAGCGGATCTTCTCTGTACAAAACTTTATCCCTTTGCTGTACCCCTCCTCTGGTCCTCTACATGTACAGCAAGCTTTTTTCTCTTTATTTACTTTTTTTTAAGGAAATGTTTGGCTCCACCTCCCTTGCCTAGGCAAATTATGTGCACTGTGCTCCCTTTGCATCCTGGGATATGCACATTTCATATCCCAGGAGGGGAGGAGGGGATGGGCCTATTGGCGCGTCGTCGCTGTCATTGGGAGGTGTGCTGGCTGAATCCGGAACAACTGGAAGCCTACATCACTGTAAAACATGGCAGCTTGGGACCGAGCACTGCCAAAAGTGAAGAAGTTCTCAGCTGGACAGCGCTGGATCGGCTGGGTGGGTGGGTATCTGATAATATGCTAAACACACCACCAGGTAAGCAGAGGTTGTTATAAAAATAATTAACAATGTTTTTAGTAATATGCAGCATGAATGGGTTAATGTGCTGCCACTGGTACTGATGCATCAGTGACCAGTGGCAGTTAATTAACCCCTCTGTGCTGCATTAGTGGCACCAGTGTCAGTGTTTACTAACCCCTTCATGCTGCAGTACAAAGGGGTTAATTAACAATTACCCTTTGCTGATAATACCTGCTTGTACTTTCGATGTACTGTATGTACTGTTATTAATCTTTTCTTATATAAAGTTTGTATTATTTCCATCCTGGTGTGCATCTATATATTTATAGTTAATGTTATAGTAGGAGCAGCAGTTCCTCTGTGTTCCCAGTGTTTAGATTACTAGTTAATTTCCCTCCACCCAGGACAGGGCCTCTGTGAATGTGCTCACCTGTCCTGGGTGTAGGCATTACCAACTTTATTATCAAACCCACTCTTCCACTTAGAGAAGGTTCTGGTTCTTTTATTCACCAACAGGTTTAGCACACTAACCTGTTTGGGGGGGTCATTTGTCATAACACTCTCCCCCCGCCCCACCAAAACAAAGAGGGCAACAAGTAATACAGAAAAAACTGCTTTAAAAAAACTCTTGAGGGACTTGGGCTTTAATTACATTAATGAGAAAGGTTACTCACCAAAATCCACCAAGAATACTCCATAGTTGTTCTGCAAATCCGAGCTGTCTGGACAGTTCTTGATTCCTGTCATATAGACCTCCTCTGCTTCTTGCTGACGTTTCTGAGGAGATTGAAGGAGAAGGTAGAGCAGGAGAAAACAGGGACTTGTTTAAGGAAAAGTTGTAACACAGTGTGACCCAATAGTAACACCTTCTTAGCTGTAGTCTCAGGATTATTTCAATCTCAGTGAAGCCCCAGAACAAGTAGAGACAACTGGATTGAGTTGCATTTGTCTATCCATACTATAAAGAGGCTTGCAACATCTGTTAAAAATTACCGTTGGTACTAGTAATAACCTATTCCATGCCAAAGGACTCTTTTTTTCCTACAATAAATCCTCGCTAATCGGGTGCCTCATGGCGCTGGGGCTTTGGGGTCAATTTTCGCCTTGGATATTGCATGAAATTGATATGTTCTCCCTGGGTGTTTCTTCCCATAATGCTGAGACTTATAGAATAATTGGCTCCCATCCAAAATTGGTGCATTTGTGTATTTACATGGCTGAGTACATGAGACAAGGACTGAATATTTGTTTACTAAGAGACCTCAAATTTGGACTTTCAAGTGGAGCTGGAACCCATAACCAAACCCAGTTCATTTTTTCTCCACACAGCTTTTTCAGATCTGGCAGACACTGTAGCCATCTCTGTTCCTGGCTTTTTTCAGGAATAGAAAGCCTGCCCTCAGACTACATTAATGAATTCCAACGCATATGCACAAATTCAATATAAGGACAATTCCCAGGTTGCCCTCTCTAAATCCTTGAATAATTATCAGAGAAGTGCTTGGAACAACCTTAATCAGTAATGCAATATTGCAGAATGTCAAACCAATTTCTAAGGCTCCAGATAAGAAGATGGATAATTTAGAGTGCCAGACCAAACAAGGAAGCTTTAATCGCTCATCAAATAATTAAATAAAACAGCCAATGTATTTCAGAGGTCTGAACACTATTTCTTTTTTCAGGGCTGCATAAAGTAAAAAGCAAATACAACAGAAAATACACTTTTATGAATGGGGAGTTTTCAGATACCCAAAACACGTTGACTGTTTCATTCATTAATTTGATGAACAATTAAAACTTCCTTTGACTCACTTTTGGTCTTTCCGCCATCTTTTTTTTCTTTCTTTATAGATGCCAGGCAGGCCCCAGGGCACTTGACAAGAAACCCAGATATTCACTTCTCATGGGATCACCACATTTTTGAGTTCTCCTCCTTTTGCCATCAGAAAGATGCTGAGAAGCTGAATTACAAGATGTGTGTGCAGTAGTCAGGGTTAGATTCTAAAAAGTAAATGCCAGCCAGACAGGCAGATCAGGAAGGTGAGAGTCTACATACTTGTTCGGGGCCAGTGACTCAAAGTTCCAAAGCAGTAGGGTTAGCGTTTTCTGTAGTGGTAGAGCTCAACAATGGCAGGGCCTGTGTCAATGGGCTTTTTTTGGTTTTCAAGTGGTTTTGCATTCACATAAAACTCTATAGGAATGCAAAATCTGCTTGAAGCAAGTCCAAAAAACCATCACCACTACTTTAACAATGATAGGGACAGAAGGAAGGAGAATATTAAAAAGAGAGTCTCACTTGATCAGCCAGCAGCGATCCCAGGCTGGAATAGGCATCTGCAAAATATGGTCCGTAAAGAAGGGATTCCTTCAGACGAAGCTCTGCTTCCTCATTCCGCCCCTGCGTCCTACAGCAGAGACACAGACACATGACAAACACCCTTTACCCTCTAACATTTTCATGACTACCTGATACAATGACCTGTCACAATGTTAAAAAAAAAAAATCACGGCACTATCTCATTGTTTAGATGAACCACTGGCACCAAGCAGTGCTTAAAAGGTGCTATGAGCTATGAACATACACAGAAATAATCTGAATTTTGGCCAGTGTGGGTCTTCAGTTATGCCAACAACAGTGGCTCATGGAGATAACTGTCTTCAAGCAGTGAGTCATGTTGAAGGCTATGCAGATCACTTTAGGATTTGAAATGTATGTCATAAGATATCTACTTCAAATTAGCAAAAGAGCAGTAACAGAGTGCACTGACCTCCAACAACCAATAGAAAATTAACTTTCAAAGCCCTGATGGTTCTAAGCTAATAAGAAGTTATATCTGATTGGCCTGTGTGGGCCATGAATTTTGGCCATCATTGCTGCCATCTGGAATAACCCAATGATTAGCAGACTTCCTCACCGAAGCAGGTTGCCTAGATTGAAGAGCGCCCGGCTGTGTTGCGGGCTGATTGCTAGGGCTTTGCGGTAATATTCCTCGGCTGCAGTGGCATTGGTGGTCAATGTGCCAAGGTTGTTGAGGGCGCTTGAGTGCTGTGGGTATAACCTGGGGATAGGGAAACAAGCAAAAGACTAAAGCAGACCTTATAATGCATGAATATAAAAATGCACCCTGTAAGTTAACTTTAAGGGTCCATGCACACTGGACTTAAAATCTAGCAGTTCTTCTGGCAGAAAAAAAAAGCTCATATAGAGAGTTTTTGGACATGTGCTTAGGGGTGTTTGGTGTTTTTTTCTGCCAGAAAAGTCCTCTCAAAAACGCGAACCAGAAGGCTTCTTTTTTTCTACCTCTAAAAAAGCTGAGCCTAAAATATGCATCTAAACTTCCTAATGTTCATGGACACAGGATAACATTGAGCTGCTTCTAAAAGCAAAACAAAAACTACTGTAGAAGCATCGGTTATTAAGCACATTGTACATGGACAATTAAGCTGAATTCCAGGCACACTAATGTTATTATGCCTTTGTTTGTACTCTAAAACTATCCTTGCAGCCATCTCAGTAAAATATTGAGGTCTGAGATTTGGTGTGCTGGCTTTTTCTCCACAGTGTGCTGGATTTTAAACATGACTGGCCTTGTTCATCTTCATTACATGATGGATTGATGTGGTTAGTAGTTTACACAATAAAGTCTATTTTTTCATCTCATAGAAAGTCACAGTGACACTGTGGGGTTTATTTACTAAAGATGGAGAGTGCAAAATCAGGCTCACTTCTGCATAGAAACCAATCAGCTTCCAGGTTGTACTGCCAAATCTTAATTGAACAAGCGGAGGTTAGAAGCTGACTGGTTTCTATGCAGAAGTGAGCCTGATTTTGCACTCTCCAGCTTTAGTAAATAAACTCATGTGTTTCAAGTAGGATCAGCAGGTATTTTCTGTACTTGATGAAATTGTTCATAGCCTGAAAAATTACTAATGCAGTCCAGTCACCACATCTAAGAACTGGTAAGCGTGAATATATATATATTTTCCTTTGTTTAAATGTCGCTTTAAAAGGACAAATTCACAAATTATATAAACCTTGGTGTAAAAATCACAATAAAATAAATAATTCAATATACCAAAATACATACTTTTCTTTAAAGTGGACTTTCTGTAGCAAATAGAAGGCCCTCTTTTTAACAACCCCCTATCTTGCAGCACAATGAACCTCAAAAAGGCATTTGTAAACAAAACATTAATCCAAAAGAAAAAAAATTTACCTTGGCTCAGTCTCCAATGCTCCTGGAAGGCATGGGTGACATCCTTGTGCCTTCTAGAAGAACTGGTAACTCGAAATCCCTTAAGAAGGCACTCTTGCAATAGGTTGGAGTGCACTATTGCAAGATTTTGAACTCCCAGTTCTACTAGAAGGCATGTCGATGTCAGTTTGTTTACAAATGGTTTTTTAAAGGCATATGTGATGGGGGGGAGGACAGGAGCTGTCAAAAGAGTGGACTTTCCATTTATCCATAACGAAAAATATTCTGTTGCCGATCAGTTTTGTTTCTTAGCCAGCTGAATGAATGCCCAGGGGTCCTACTTGTATAATAGAGAATACAAACATCTGAAAAGTTTGATCAATTGTGGTTCCGCTAAACATTTAAAAAATTTGCAAACCTCCACAATTTGGCATTTCCAAACCAGAGGTCCCACTGCACTGAAGTCAATAGAAACTTGAACCAAATGTGTATTACAGAGCAGCAAATAATTCAGAATTGTACAGAATGGTTTGAGAAGCTCTTGGGAGCCTGTTTTCTGAAATGATGGGTTCAAAAACCAGCATGAACTACTTTCTTTGCATATTCAACCAGGGTTAGTAAGATAGGAGGGTAGAACCTGGAGCACTGGTAGTCAAGCTAAGGGTTCTCAGGCAAAAGTGGAAGCAGATATAAGGCAGAGCAGCTTTTGGTCCCTTTCTCCCAGAAGCCTTTTGGAATACTAAATTGCCAAAAATACCACTGTCATTTTGATTTGGCTCAGGACATTCAAATCTATGAAAATAGGTAGAAATCTAACATTTCAAATTCCTTGACACCTGATAAAGATGGGACAAGGGGCGGACTGACCATTTGGAAATTTGGGCACTGCCTGAGGGCCCGGGGTCAGTAGGGGGCCCCATGAGATGCCCCTTTTTCATAGGCTTTTTTGAGTTTGGGCAAGGACACAGGGGCCCCATGATCCCCTATTGCCCGGGGGCCCCATGAGTTGTCAATCCGCCCCTCGATGGGACTTACCTCAAGACAGTCCTGTAGTGGTTTACAGCCTCCTGTTTTCGGTTCTGGTCCTTCAGAAAATTGGCGTAGTTATAGTGCACTTTAGCATTGTGTGGCAGAGTCTGCACACCGGACCTGGGGCAAGAACAACTGTGAGGAAGGTAATGGACTGAGATCAGATAATCAGGTCAATCAGTACACTGCATACCTGAACAGAGACTCCCGTGACTGCCAGCACTTGCTTTGTGACACAGATTTCCAGGAGAAGAGGAGCAACAGAAGAAAAAAGCTAAAGATGATAGCTGAAGATCCACGTGGGCTGCTTCGGATGTAAAGGGCCCTCATTCCGTAGACACATAAAATGCAGAAGCCCATACTGCAAATAACAAAGCAATCAGGTTTGCCAAAAGAGGTTTTCTAGTGTTTATGTAGATGTATACATTGTATTCCTGAACATATAATCCTTATCCTTCACCCAAATCCTTAAAGTATATGTAAACCCTAAATTGTGTATGGCATCATGCCTCACTTTATACAGGTTTATCAACCATTTGAGTCCCCAGGGCTGTTTAAAAATAGCATTGCGACTCTGCGGATCTGTTGGGTCCCATCCAATATCACTTGTAGCAGATTACATCAAACACAATTCTTGACTATATATATATATATATATATATATATATATATATGTATATGTATGTATGTATATCACAAGTTTTTTGGTAAAAGAAGAATGAAAACAAAAATGTATTTTTTTTATTTTCATTTTTCAAAACTACATACGGGAGCCAAAAACCAATGACCCCTGTCAGGCTTTCAAAGGGCATAATTTCCTCTTTTCACTTCCTGACTACCTATCACAGTTTCAGAGGCCCTGAAATCCCACGATAGTACAAACTCCCCACCCCCATGACCCCTTTTTAGAAAGTAGACACCCAAAGCACCCAAGAGGTATGTTGAGTTTATGGAAGGTTTTATTTTTTTCCACAGGTTTTTGGAAAATAACAGAACAAAAATTTTTTTTCTTAAAGTTGTCATTTTAATTAGATATTTCTCACACATGTCATGGGTGTATGTGAAATTACACTTCAAAACACATTCTGCTACTTTTCCTGAGCATGGGGATACTACATGTGTGAGACTTTTTGAGAGCCTAGCCTTGTATAGAGGCCCAAAATCCAATGATCACCTTCAGGTTTTCAAAGGGCACAATTTCCCGTTTCACTTCCTCGCTACCTATCACAGTTTCAGGGGCCCTGATATATGAGAATAGTACAAACACCCCCCAAATGACCCCTTTTTGGAAAGTAGACCCTTCAAGGTATTTGCTAAGAGGCATGGTGAGTATTTTGCAGATCATTTATTGCAACAAGTTTTTTGAAAATGAAGAAAGAAAACAAAAATGTATTTTTTTTCTTTTTCCAAACCTTGTGACAGGTATATTGCTGTGCCTGTTCGGGTCACCCATCAGCAGTACATTGTAGGCGGGTGGTCCACAAAGTGGATATATATTTAGATATCACAAACCTGCAAAGTAGTCACTATTGTGCTATATTGCATTCTCGCAAACTCAACATGATCTTACCTGAGTTTTAACAATTTACGCAAAAATAATATTTTCTTATGTGTGGGTTGAAATGGAAATAAAGGTGTCCGAAAGTAAAATGCAAACCTTCACTTTGGTCTTTACCATTTTGTTATGTTACACATGTTTTCACACTTATTATCTTTTAATCAGCAGACTTTGACAGTTCTATTTTGGGTTACAGAGGCTGTGCTAATTACTTAACTGTTTTGTTGGGAATAATTACAGGAAAAGACATCTTTTTTTTAAATTTCTTGCTTCTTGAAACATAGAAACTAAAAATATATGTATCCAAATCTGTCCTAAGAAAATGTACTGTACTATAAAGGTACACAGAGGCGTAACTAGAACCTTCAGGGCCCTGGTTCAAGAAACCAGCCCTTCCTTCCAAGCCCAAGCCCTTCCCTCTAAGCAACACCAGGACCTGGATACAAGTGCGAATTTTGTGACCATGGTAGTTTTGGGGTTTTTTTCATTATTTAATTTAATTATTTAATTATAACATTTTATTTTTTTTTACAATATTATTTTAAATATATTTTACACTTTTTTTTAGGAGCCCCATTGAGGGCTTTGGTGAGATATCAGGGGTCTAAACAGACCTCTGATGTTCCACCTTTGAGAGAGAGAAAGGAGAATGAGACAGCCTTCAACCTCCATCTCTGCAGCCTCAACTGCACAGGATAAATGGACAGGAATAGCTCCTGACACATTCACTGCAGCAGCCATCGGGAGAGGGGGGGGAAACCCAGCAGCACTGTGGGAAAGGAGGTGGGCCAGGAGAGAGCACAGGGGGCCCGGAAAGAGAGCACAGGGGGGCCCGGAAAGAGCACAGGAGGGCCCGGAAAGAGCACGGGGGGGGGGGGCTCGGAGAAAGCACAGGGGACCAGGGGGCAGCAGAAAGAAGGTGGATAGCAGGACCAGCATATAGAGGAACCAATCCCTCCATTTTGTTCCTGCAGTCATCGAATGCCCACTTCTGCTCCTCTCCCTCCCGAAGGCATTCAGGCTGCAGGAGGAAAATGGAGGGATTGGTTCCTCTATATTCTATAAAAAGTGTAAACCTCCTGCGCTACTAAGCCTATATTAAGAATATCAAATGAAGCTGCCAACCCCCAACCTCTAAAAAATACACTCATAAACGCATGTAAATATCCACAATAAAACAAATAAAATGAATACATTGAAAAAAACAAACCACAAATAGTGTAATACTGTTTTTATTAATAAATGTAGGTAACAGTAAGATATGCACTCACATAATCCTCCTTCTTGTGAACAGCATAAACAGATATTTCCCTTCACAATGGGTGTAGCTGAATGGGTGCACAAAGATGGCGTCCGACTGGAAGTACGTCACCGCATGCCTACGCATTACGTCACGTGTGTCTCGTGACTTCCACTGGGCTGTCCAGATTGGTGTGAGTGTTGTGTGGTTTGTTTTCTATGCACATACACTGCGTTTTTGCATCATTATCAGCTTATGCATGTTCCTTTTTTCACTTACATAGTTGGCATTTATCACATGCACTATAATATCACTTTATTTGTGTATTCATTTTATTTGTTTTATTGTGGATATTTACATGCGTTTATGAGTGTATTTTTTACAGGTTTAGGGTTTATTCATAGGTAGCAGCGCCACATCATTTCTTTTTTCATTCCTCTATTTTCTGCCCCCATCTCCCCATCTATCCAGGTGTGCAGGGGAGCCACACAGGCAGGACTGTAGGCATTTTGCACATGCTCAGTTTGGTGTGCATTGCTAGAGATGTTTTTTTTTTCTTGGGAGAGTGCATGTGATCAGCACAGGGCCAATCAGCACTGGTCAGACAGAGGTCAGGGGTCCTGCATCCTCCTAGAGCAAAATAAAACTCCTCCTACAAACTTTAGCTAGTGCTCTGCTGGACACTGATAGAAGTCACAAGACTGCTATATACTGCTGATGAGAAAAGGTATTTAGCAGTTTATATTTACTAAAATAATTGCATTTCCATGTTCTGTGTACTGTGGGAGACCAGATATAGTGAATGCAGGGTCCTGGGTTTAGTAACACTTTAACAAAAAAAAAAAATCACTCTCAACACACAAACAAGAAATCTGTGCCAAAGGTTTGCAGGAGATATCTGTCCTATATACAACTGCTCTGAAAAAAAATGTCTATTCGGTCACATAGATAACACGGATGCTCATCACAGTAAGGAAGGAGCAGAGTCTCAGGTCCTGGTAAATATACTGATAGCTGTGTGCTATTGGAATAGTAATGATGCTTTGTTCGGTGTTGTGTTTCTGTAACTGTATCTGGAGCTGGGCCCCTGGATTACACATATCATAACATCCTGGCTGGCGATAATCCCACATTGGCAGAGCTGTACTCCTTCCCGCCAAGATAGAACACAGAACAGATCTTCTTCTGAAAGATCTCCAGAGACATTGAATCCGACCTCCAAAAGTCTGTTTGTTTTGCCCTCAGCTCAGACAGATGAACGTGTTTAATTGTAGCAACTGGAATATAATTAGGAGTATGTGAAGACATTAGTCTTTTGGGTGTTGCTTTGTTTTTGTTATGAAATGAACCTATCACAAAACTGTGCAAACCAAACAGAATATGATAAAAAATACATAAAAAGAGGTGACCTCTAGTGAAAACCACATTTCAAAAGTATCAGTTGATATGGACATATTGTTATATACAATTTTAAACATTTACCATTAAAAGTAGGTTTAGCTCAGCCATCCTGGCTGACCAAATCTCTCCACTGGTCAATGAGTATAGTCATCTCATTAACCACTTCAACAACGGGCACTTTTAACCCCTTCCTGCCCAGGCCAATTCACACTTCAAATGACAATTGCGCGGTCAAGCAACACTGTACCCAAACTAAAATGTTAGAATTTTGTTCACACAACTAGAGCTTTCTTTTGGTGGTATTTAATCACCGCGGGGGTTCTTATTTTTTGCTAAATTAACAAAAAAAGACCAAACATTTTGAAAAAAAAACCCACATTTTTCTTTCTTTCTGTTATAAAAGTTTGCAAATAAATAATTGTTCTTCATAAATTTACGCCAAGATGTATTCTGCTACATGTCTTTGGTGAAAATAACCCAAATCAGTGTTTATTATTTAGTTTGTAGGAAAGTTATAGATTTCACAAACTATGGGATATATCTGAAAATGTATCAATCCTGAAGTACTGACAGCCAATCTAATTTCTTGAGGCCCAAAAATGTCAAAACAGTACAGATATCCCCCAAATGACCCCTTTTTTGCAAAGTAGATAGTCTGACGTATTTTATAAGAGGCATGGCGAGTTTTTTGAAGTTGTAATTTTCAGAAAATGAAGAAATTAAAACAATTTTTTTACAATTTTTTTTTTACATACTGTCACCAGTGCAGTACAGCGTCAGTATATAACTGGTGTGGCGGTGATCAGGAACACTGACTGGTGGCAGTATGAAAAAACAAAAAATTATAATATTATTTCAATTTTTATTTTTATTTATTATTTTTTTTATTGTTATTTAAAATTTTTCTCTTTTTTTAAGATTTTAATGGTAAGATTGTACTACTTTGGGGAAGTGATCAGTATTTTTTTTTTACACAATTTGATTGCTTATAGCAAAGAATTTCTTTGCTATAAGCAAGCATTTAACTGAATGAAATCGATTAATTCAGGTTCATTTTTTTCGTTGTGATTATCTGTGATTGGCCATGGCTAATCACATGACACAGATGGGCTGTGATTGGCCTAGCCTGTTTTATATATTTATGACCTTTTGTGGATTTTACTAGCGCTGCACCCCCTCTTTTTATTATTGATGGCACTGACTGGCGGCACTGCTGGGCACTGTTGGTTAGCACTGCTTGACAACACTGATGGGGGGCACTGCTGGGCACAGATGGGTGGCACTGCTAGGCACTGTAGGGCACAGATGGTGTGACACTGCTGGGCACAGGTGGGTGGCACTGCTGGGCACTGATCATCAGGGTACTCTGATGATCAGTGCCAATCTGTTTTTTTGACAATTGCCGGTTATTGGCAGTACTTTCCTCACGTTGTGACAGTGTGAGGAAAGTGCAGCCGACAACCGGCAACTGCATTAACCCAGTGATCAGGTGAGTCTGCTGGGGACTAATGGGGAGGGCGCGTTCTGGGAGGACGTCATATGATGCCCTCCCAGAACTGGACGACCACGCTGTAGCTGTCATTCGGGTATAGCCCGGTTGTCAAGTGGTTAAACTCTTGCATTCACTATCAACTTGTCCTCTCCCTAGAGATCCTTGGCATGTCCTTTTACACCTGAAACCCCCAGGTCTTTCAAAACACCAATTCAAGTTGACTACATACGTATTATTGGCGGCTAAACAAACTATAGCAAAAGCCTGGAAACAACCATTCATATATTTTAAGGAAGTCCTTCGTCACCTAGATTTTTTCCTGGTTTTCCTGGTTGAAAAACTCTCTAGCATCCTCTCTGATACCCACAAGAGATTCCTCAAAATATGGATTCCACGGATCCCAACATGCTATATATCAATAAATAATTTCACTTCGCTATAATTCTGGAAGCCCCATAATCTGGACTCGTGCTTTTACCGTTCTCCTTTCCATCCTTTCTTGTCTCCCTCCCCTCTTCATCTTTCTCTTCTTTTTTCTTATTATTTTATTGGCTCTTCTGCAAGGATGATTCATGATACGTTCCATATTTTTTTTGGTTCAACAATATACTTTATTAATTTCAAATGTCATTATCTTTTTCGCTATTGTCGGCTGTTTGGCAATGTGTGTATAGTTCTGCTTTCACCCTTATGCTGATTTATTGACTTTTATGTTTGATGTTTCTGTTATCTCTCTTTTGACATGTAAATTACTTGTCTCTATTTATGGATATGTTTTCTAATATACGACCGCCATGGACTGTCACCATTTGTTACGTCATTGTCTATATACATGATAGCGGTTGCATCTGTATCTTTTTAACTTAAAACTATTCAATAAAAATGTATTGAAAGGAAATGTATTGAAAGGAAATGTATTGAAAGGAAATATGATGTCAACCCAAATTTTGGGATTTTCTTTTACTTACACTTTCGATGATATGGTAAATGGGAAAAATAAAGAGAGTGTCCTCCCTAGCAGGGACACAGGCAGCAATAAAAACCTGACAGGTGTTTTGATCCCTCTCTGCTCTATTCAAAATTGTAAAGAAAGCTTTGCTTTTAGTTACAGTTTAATCAAGAGCGTTGGATCCAAGCTCTGACTATTCAAACTATAATCATTAATATTAATAGACCAGTGTACTTGTTTAACTCCCCCTTTATTAAGCTTTACTTGCCTGCCACCCACCCCCCCCCCCCAGCTCCTGAATGTGCATGATAGTGTCAAATAACAAAGCTCTGTGCTTGTCTATATTATTCCTAATTAGGCTCTGCTATTTAATGCTGTTATGCACTCTCAGGGGCTGGGAGACAGGATACTTCAAGTAAAGTTTTTCAGCCTTCTGGTGAGATCTCACCCCCTGACATTTCATGCTCAGCAGAAAAGTATATAAAACACAGTACAACTTCCACATATATTTGTAAACTTTGTGCAACTAGAACCTCTGTTTTTTACACAGATTAAGACAATGTCATTTTTTTTTTGCTGGCTAGCTGGTAAGTGTGCTGGAAAAACATTTAGTTTGCTCTATGCAAAAGCCCTTCCATGTGCACCTTACTTGAAAAAGCTTGTTAAAAATTTGGCAGCTGCCATTTTTAATTAGCTTGCTGGAATTAGTGCAGGGATGCACTGGATGCCTTCAGCTGCCATTGTGTTCTGCTTCTGGTGTGTCTCTGTACCTTTAATTAGAAATGGGCTGTCTAGGGCTGTGCTATACAGAGGAACCTTGATGAGGAAGTGCGGCTTCCACATATATTTGAAAATGTTGTGAAATTATAACCTCTGTTTTTGATGCAAATTGTTAAACAGTGTATTTTTTTTTTATCTTTTGCTGGCTATCTGGTACATTATGTTTTGTTTGCTCTGTGTAAAGTCTCCTCATGTGCACCTTACTCCAAAAGCTAGTTAGAATTTGGGGGGCTTTCCATTTTTATATACCATATTTTCCGGCGTATAGATGACTTTTTATACTTAAAAACATACCCCAAAAATCGGGGGTCGTCTTTAACGCTGGGTATACAATGTGAACCTTTAGTTCGTTTGGGCCAAGCTGGCTCAAAACGAACATCCCTAATCTGTCAGCCCGCTGGATGTGCGGTAATACTGTATATACGGTAGCTTCAGCTACATACAGTATACAGTTATACAGTATACCGCGATGAGCCAAGTTGGCTCAAAACGAACGTCCCTACGGTTATCTGTCAGCCCGCTGGTTGTGCGGTAATACTGTATATACGGTAGCTTCGGCTACATACAGTATACCGCGCTGAGCCAAGCTGGCTCAAAACGAACGTCCCTAATCTGTCAGCCCGCTGGATGTGCGGTAATACTGTATATACGGTAGCTTCAGCTACATACAGTATACAGTTATACAGTATACCGCGATGAGCCAAGTTGGCTCAAAACGAACGTCCCTACGGTTATCTGTCAGCCCGCTGGTTGTGCGGTAATACTGTATATACGGTAGCTTCGGCTACATACAGTATACCGCGCTGAGCCAAGCTGGCTCAAAACGAACGTCCCTATGGTAATCTGTCAGCCCGCTGGATGTGCGGTAATACTGTATATATACGGTAGCTTCGGCAACATACAGTATACCGCGCTGAGCCAATCATGGCAAGCAATGTATTCTATTAATGAATACAAAGCCTGCTCGGATTGGCTGAGATTGTGACATCATCAACCCACCTCTCTGACTCTGCCAATCCGAGCAGGCTTTGTATACATCCAGTGGGCTGACAGATTACCGTAGGGACGGTCGTTTTTAGCCAGCTTGGCTCAGCACGGTATACTGTATACTGTATGTAGCCAAAGCTACCGTATATACAGTATTACCGCACATCCAACGGGCTGACAGATTAGGGACGTTCGTTTTGAGCCAGCTTGGCTTAGCGCGGTATACTGTATACATACTGTATACTGTATGTAGCTGAAGGTACAGTACATACAGTATTACCGCACATCCAGAAAGCTGACAGATTAGTGGGTGTATATTTAATCAAATGTGATGTTTATTCAAATCTGATGTTTTTAAATGGTGTTGCCTTGGAAGGGGGGTAGTCTTATATATGGCGAGTATAGCCCAAAACCTATGTTTTAACTGGAAAATTAGGGGGTTGTCTTATACACCCAGTCGCCTTATACGCCGGCAAATACAGTACGTATATAAACATCCCCTTGGCTAACATGAAGAGTCATGGATATACCTTGGCATGTAGAGGACTCGTTCTGCCACCACAAAGCCCACTCTGAAGAAAAGATTGCTGGCTGGTATAAATGGGAAAACCAGGAAGAGGAGACCCACCAAAACCTCCCGATGTCCAGTCCTCTGCAGAACAGACAGAAACATTAGTTAAAGTAACAGTCCAACTAAAACTGATATTTTAATGTTTGGTAGGTGCTGGAGAGTTAAACCACCTGATTTTCTGACTTTCTTCTATCTCTCAGTGACTCTACTGGTGAGATCTCTTTACTGAGTTCTCAGTTTTGGACCCCCGCCCTTCCCATTTTGTAATTTATTTTATATTATGTAGAATGTAACAGAAGGAACTGGGACACACTAATGTGGACAGGAACACAAAAACTTACAGGGTGTCCATTATCAGAATAATGAATTATGGTAGTAAGATCTCATTGTTAGTGTATCCAAGACATAACAAACCAGGTGGTGACTCAACCCAACTTACACTCCATCTATAACTAAAATATCACGTAAGGATGGATTATTTCTTTAAACATGACACACATACAACACAGAACTAAAAACTGCAAGAATTGCTCCACAATATCAATGGCAATGTGAAAAGCTCAACAACCAATTTGATTTTGGTGTGCTGTAATCAGATCCCTAAAAAAAATAATCAAAATAATACTGGCTCCTGATCATCAGTAGATAACCAAGCTGTCATTGCTATCTTGGTAACAGCTTTGGGAAGTGCCAATGGTGTATGCCTCAGAACAAGACAGTGTTAGGGCCAGCCTGCTATCCTGCTGCATTACAAAATACGCAAACCCTCACCTTGTAAAACAACCCATTAAGTTTAAAATAGAAATGAAAGGCAAAACATTTATGTATAGATATACAAAAAACATTCTAAATACGGTACCTTTTTTCCCCCTTTTTTTATAAGTGACCACATACCCTCTGTTCTCAGCTGTCTAAAGAGCTAAGGGAGGAGAAACAGCAGCATACAGATCCTTGCAGTGAATGGCTGTGCGGGAAGGGGAGGGAGAGCATGTCAGCACAAGCCTGAGTACTGGAATAGCTCCCAGCACAGCCAGAAAACTGACCATGATGTGCCTAGGGTGTTCAGTTTTTAATAAGAAAGCAGGGGGACTGGCAGGAACACCAGGGATTTCACACAAAGGAAGCAATGTAAAGAGAACAGGATACTTTTTGATACAGATACTTTTTGATACAAGTACATGGTACAGCAGGCACAAACTAGTAATATGAAATGTTGGGGTAACATATTCTTTAATGCATATTGCTAGTGCGGTTAATGTTTGAACATGCTCATAGTTTTCAGACACAATGCCCCATCCCATGCCAGGATGGCATTAATTAATGTTGCTGCAGAGAACAAGAACTGCGCACTTGCACATATTTCCAGTACTCAGACCCTGCTGTCAAACCAAATTTTCTTTAGAAAAATGATTCTGCTTGGTTGTGTATCTTGACGTTTTACTAATCCTGTTCAGTTCATTTTGAAAAATAACAGTAAAAAAAAATGCATTTTCTACATCAGTTTGCAAAATCAATTAATTTCTGTAGTGAAATTGAACAGAAGGACAGTTCTGTTAATTATTTACACATAACCAGATCCTTATCGCACTGCTGACCTGGGTTCCCAGCAACACTGATAACTGAACACTGACAGCAGCACGGAAAGCTGTGAAATAAACTCTTATGTTCTGGCAGCAGGAGAGAAAGTTTCCAGGAGTTTGTTTGAGAGAAATGATTGAACAAACTTCCTGCTGAGATGATAATGATCAAATATAGAGGCGTGATGGCAGGGGGGGGGAGAGAGTGAGGAAATGTCCTGTACTTATTGTAAGAAATTGCTATAAATCAATCCTGGTGCCTGAGGGCGTGGTGCCCTTGTCCTGTCCAAATCATGACAAGTTAGGGCTTTTAAAGGGAATTTTCACTGAGCAGTTTCTAAGTTAATATTGTTATGTTTACTTGATAGGAAAAGAATATCCTTTCTCATTAAAGAGAATTTGCATTCATTTAATGAGTCAGTGGAGCCTATTAGGCTGACTTCATATACTGTATGTCTTGGATACTCCAACAGCAAGATCTCTGTACCATTATTCCTGACTCTATTCCTGCTCATGTCAGAGTTTTGGTTGTTCCCCTCCACCGTTTGTGTTTGCTGGCCCGTTACATTCTCAAAAATGTAGAATACATTTAAAAATTCACCAGGGATGGTGGGATGCTCCTCTTAATGTGCACAGCACAGACCCAGGAATAGCATTAGGGTTTGGGTTGGCATCAGAGATATTATTAAGGTTGGCTTTATTATTAACAAAGATTTAAAGCAGCATTAGGGTTAGGTTGGCCATACACTGAACACTGAACCAAATGAAGTGGATGGAAGAATCCCCCATGCCAGGATATTGCAATCTGGCAACAGGACCTGTTACAACCACTAATCGACAAAAGTTTTACAGCATGTCCCTTCAGCTTCTATTAAGTGGGGATGGCACAGCAGGTTCCTAGTCATCTAGCTGAGTGTATGGCCAATTTGTGAGTTGGTTTTGGTTATCAACAAAGCCATTGATACTCATGTTAGCGCTGACATGGTGATCACATGGCTCTGTTAGAAAACAAAATTACGTGATTTTTCTTTACAAGCACATTTTGCTCAAGTAGCCCACATGATAAAATTTTAGACTAATGGTGGCAAAACTGGTGGGAGCCCCTTATCATAATTCCCCATTGGGCTTGGGCTGCCAATCAGATCTCAAAAGGGGACAACTACCCCTGACCGTTGCTACTGAGCTACAGTTGTCTTTGGACCTTGGCATTCATATATTCCCTGCTGAATATCTAGAGCACTCATCTAACCATTACATGATAGGATACCAATTGCTTCTCTTTAATTTCAGCTCTGGGAGAACCAGTTTCATCCCGACTCTCTGTAGGGGAACAGAGAAAGACTGGACTGTACTAAACTACACTTAGTTCTGTGCACTCCTGAGAATTTTTTACAGGTGACTGGTTCTCTTTGATAAATTCAGGAGTACCTTTCTTGCCACTAGGCAGTGCAGGCCAAGGGATAGGAGTACCACCAACAGGACAAGCGTCTCCAAGTTCCGTCTGTCCCAGAGGGAATGAAGAAGGGGTATACTGCCCACCTGCCAGTCATAGCACAAGGTGATGGGGGACAGAAGCAGGCAGGCATTGAATGCCAGGAGGTAGAGGAAGGTCAGGAACCTGCAAGACAGAGGAAGAGCAGTCAATGATGCAGAAATCTTTTCGTTTATGGTCATGTGACACTTGTTAAGGGGCCACTAATTCCAATTTCTTATTTAAACAGTGTAGAGAAGCTCAGCCTATGTGGAGTATTGAAAATATTCTAATCACCAAATGTTGTGATGTGCTCTGAGTTATCATCAGTGGAGGTGTATTTTATGTTCTACCTCTCTGAGATGGTATAAAAGGGTGTCTTGTCCCTCTCAAAATTGTAGGAAAAATACACATCCATCCCACACCTCATTTATGCACCCAATACCTATTTACAAGTGGATTCTGACCAGCCCTCATTTATAAAGACTGGCAGTATTTGACCCAGGAAGAGTTAGCACATCTGCAAGCAATGCTGGAAATTGCAGCTCAAGACTTCCAGAAGCGTCAGATGTCCGTGACACTGACCGCCGCCAAGAAATATCCCATAGGACAAAATGACACACAGAATAGAGGGGCTGCTGCTACACTGGCCTCTGAAAAGCAATTCACCATGGATCATCTTTTAGAGGGTGAGAGGCACTGCCACCAGCATGAAAGAGGCATTAAAGTCCATCTAATCATTCAGTTTAAACAGCTAAATATATGCCATGTGCATAAAAAAAAAAAGGTGTCCAAAGTCTTACAATTAATTTTCTTTGGAATTCCATCTTAGTAGAAAGCCTGTGTCCTGCCAAATGCAGGAGAGAAGGACCTTTGCTTTATATAGGAAAGCAGTGGTCTCTCTGCAGAGGTCCAAGATGCCTCCTGCTAAGTCAGAGCCAAAACTCTCCAATTAGCAAAGCTCTTGACTATTCTAGGAGAAATAGATACACTATATTGTATTTTAAATAGATACAATATGTTGTATTTTATCAGTAAGTCTGTGACAGATCTTCTTTGCCTATTCACACCCAAATGTGGCTGTATTCCACTTTGCATTCTTGACAACTGTTAATACAACCTGCAGAGACAGGACAGAGCTCCTATCCCACTTCTGGAGACAAAGAACTGTGTTGGCCCTAGGCCACGGCTCTTCCACATACCTGGTGAGGATGTAAGGCGAGAAGGAAGCCGGATTGTCTTGCTCGGAGAACAATGGCATAGAGCCTCCCATGATGTGGACACGGAAACCCAACACCACCATCACCTGCAAGAGAAAAAAGTTCTGATCAAATGTCCTTTTTATAGGTGACAGTCAGTGACTACTGCTGAGCTGAGACTTGGTGTAGCCAGCATATTTACCACTCCTATTGTCCAGTCCACATAGAGACGACAATACAAACCATTGAGTATACACATAGCTATGTGATGGGCACAGCCTGACAGTGCAAAGGAGCCAGATATTGATATATATTTAATACATAAGGGTTTATGATTTTTTGAAAACATTGAAAGTTTTTTGTTTTTTTAGTATAAAGAGAGAGAGAAATGGAGGAAAGAGAAACAAATGATACAATCAGGAATCTTTAAGCCAGTCATAAAGGCCCTGCAAGACATGTAGAAGCTTCTATGTCATCAGGTGCCAGCTGTGCCACCTAAAACCACCAGTAAGAGTGGTCATTCATCCAATCCCCCTTTATGGCAGTGAAGTATTGGGTTCTCTAACCTACCCATACCAACCCAACAAAAATATTCCATCTAGAATGCTGTAATCACCTCTTTCAAGCCCATTGGAGCACTGCCAACATTTCTTGTGGGACTATGCATGGGAGATTCCACCTGGGCTACAGCACTATGGAGAAGACATTACCTTCTATTCTTCCCTCCCTCAACTGAGATACTGATGTTATGCTGCACCATTTTCCTCCAGCCAGAAGGAGGAGAGCTAAAGCCAATAAATCCTATGGACTTCTAGGCAGAGCACTGAGAAGGAAGAGAAGTGGTAAAATGGGTTTTGTCAAACTGCCCAGGAAACCTCTTCCTCTTGAAGCTGTGGGAACTGTGAAGAGCATGTCTGCTGCACAGTGACCAGATTGCTGAGAAGCCAGACCAGCGGAGATCAAGCCTGAGACCTGGGAAGAGAGATCCCAGGGCAGTGCAACACAGACCACAGTGATCACATCTGCACCATTGTCACAGGGAGACACAGAGCTTCATCTCACCCAGAGCTTTCCATTGCTGATCATCAGAGGCATCCTGTGGAGAAACAAAGCCCCCACCCCACCTTCTACAGCAAGCAGTCACTGCAGCTTCTCAGGGACTGGTGGGAGGGCTATTCGCCATTGCTGATACTGCTAGCAAAGACTGAGCCACTGAGAGCAGGACACCAAGTGTATGCAATCTATATCACACCCATACTGCATTCTATACCACACTTATTCCAAACGTAGACTGCACCTATAACAACCCTATAGTGCATTATACCATACCTTTACCGCATCTGAACCACATCTACCTTGCACCTGTGCCGAGGGCTATACCATACCTATATTGTGCCTATACTGCATGCAGGTTAACTGGAACTTTCATTAAGTGCACCAGCGCTCTTAAAGGGCCCCAACAACAGCTGGCAGAAGAATATCTCAATGGACTGCCCCTCCCATAATAATTATTCTGTGAGTCCCCTTTGTTCCCCAGTTGGTCTAGGACTAGCATTGCCACTATAAATGCACTCTAGCATTCAATGGATTAAACTTAACTACTGCCTGCTGCTGCACTTCAGGTGGCTTTGCTACTGTTTATGCTGATCTGGATGCCAGATATATTTTGCCTAGTCCTTACTGTTAACCACTTAGTAAACTAAATTGTGTTATTACCATTGTTAATCCACTTTATGCTTGCTTAGTTACCAACCAAATTGGGAGACAATATATTAAGTTTGCCTATACTACCTGGTTTGGTGCCTATTTTCTTTGATATAGTGCTACTATTACCTTCAGTGATTTCCTGTGATATTGAATGTTTGTACACTTAAACTGGTGTGTTAGAGGGGCTGAGGTTTTTTGGGAAAGGTCAAGGCAAAGAAGAGAGGACCCATCCTAAACAGTAGTGCTACATTCCCTTTACAGTTTAGAAGGCACTATCATAGTGGAACCACCTATAAAACAGCAGCCCCAACCCATACCACCATAAAGTCTTACTGACCAAGGAAAACCAGGCCTGCAACAAATAAGCCCCTTGTCCAACCAAAACTCTCAACAGCACAGTCTGACAAAATCTCAAATAAACGGCATAATGAACAATTCCATAGTAAAAAATGTCAGAGAATCCAGAGATGAAAAAACAAACTAAAAAAAACCTACATATTAGTTGATACAGACAGAATACAAACTGATCCCCCAAAGACAGACAGACTCTGAGCCAATACACACCGCCTGGAAATAGAATCAGGATGGCACAGACAGACCTGCAAGACCAAGAAGAGTAGACTGTGCCAGCAATCTGATCAGGGGGTCTTGGAGGATGTGGCCCACATCCTGCTATGGTGCCCCATCTACTCATCAGTGAGAAACACTCACTTCCAGAGACTCTCCGCTCTCATTCTAGACCAGACTTAACTTCCATAGAAGAGAAAAAGAAACTCCACATACTAGTAGCAGAAGGGCCAACAGTCAACACAGCTGCACAGTGTGTTACAGCATTTCACACACTGCGAGAGACATTAAACATTTTTGACTAAACCCCCTACCTGGACTCGTATCTTCCTTTATATTACTCCTTAACCGCTTCCCCGACGCCCTATAGCACAAATACTGCTACATGTATATATACATGATTTTGCAATTCCAGGTTGGCAGGCGCGTGCCATTGGCGGCTACGTCTGTCAGTCACTGGGTCACAGCCGGAGATTCCCAGCGATCGCCGAAAAAAAACACTGACAGGGGAGAGGTCTGTATGTAAACAATACAGATCTCTCCCCTGTCAGCTCCAGCATGCTGCTTTGTTTTGCTCTGCTATACAAAGCAATGTGCTTACACAGGAAACATAGTAAAACAGCACATAGTTAACCCTTTGATCGCCCCAGATGTTAACCCCTTCCTGCCCAGTGCCATTACTACAGTGTCTGTGCTTTTGTTTAGCACTGATCAGTGTATTAGTGTCACTGGAGATGTCAGTGGCAGTTAGTCAGTTCCCCTCCAATGTCAAAATGCCCACTGAAGTCCCACAGTCCTGCTATAAGTAGCTGATCACCACTGTTACTAGTATAAAAAATAATAGAATTCCAGTATTATACCGCCATTTGTAGATGCTAAGACTTTCACATAAAGCAATTCATTTACACGTATTGGGATTTTTTTTTTTAGCAAAAACATGTAGCAGAATTTTGAGCTAAATTTATGATGAAATTTGATTATTAAAATTTTTTTACTAGATATGTTTTATAACAAAAAAGTCAAAATTATTATTTTTTTCCCAACATTGTTCGGTTTTATTGTTTATAGCGCAAAAAATAAAAAAGGCAGAGGCGATCAAATATCACCGAAAAAAAGCTCCATTTGTGGAAAAAAAAGGAAATACATTTAATTTGGGTGCAGCGTTGCATGACCCGCGCAATTGTCAGTTAAAGTAATGCAGCACCGTATCGCAAAAAATGGCCTGGTCAGGGAGGAGGGTACATCCTCTGGACGGCAAGTGGTTAATATGATAGAACTCCTGGTATCATCTGATTTTCCCTGTATATTAGGTAAATATGAAAAAAAGATAAGGGGAGGAACAGACAGATAGAGAGATAAGTGGGGCTGGGGATGTGGAGGTTGAGAGACTGAGAAATAACTGGACCTTTTGATTAAACCACAACTGCTGTAGTAGCTGGATAGTATTGGGTGCACATTGATTTTGTTATTTGCCTAAAGCTGTTTTTAAAATTGATTGTGACTTTATATATACGCACAGATTGGGCTATACCAGAATATTATCAGCACAGGAGTGGGCCCCCAGGATACATCATGTAACTTGGCTCCGGCTGTCACGGTCCCCACTCACTCAGTGCAGGCTCAGGCGGAGAATTGGCTGAACACAGAGTGATATCCCACATTCCACTCACATGGCAGGAAACCAGCGCTGCTCTCCTCAGGAAGGGAACGGCCGCAGCCCACAGATCCTTTACAGGGCGCTCCAAAGACGGCAACCTAAAGGTCAGGGAAATAGAGAGGTGATACAGGGTGTACATTGACAGGCGAGGCACAGGGAGGACCTGTCACCTCTGAATGGAAATGTTATTGTTAAGTCAGCTGACCTCCCACTCTGAACAGCATGTATCTTCCAACTATTTATCCAAACGCTCAGCTGGGACGTCATAATTGTTTCTGCTAAAAATTATTACCCCAGCTTAAAGCGGAGTTCTAGTCAGTTTTTGTGTTTATTAAATGTCAGCAGTTGCAAAAACTGTAGCTGCTGACCTTTTGCCTTGGTTCACACTGATGTGGTGTGGAATTTACTGTGTTTTCTGTGTGAATACCGCACCGCATCACAATCACACCCCGTTCATGTGAACCGCTGCGGGTGTGTATGTTAAGTTAACAACACCCCGAAATCGGTCCGCAAAACGCAGTGCGCTGTGCAGATCGGACTGCATAGGTGTGAATACCCATGCGATCCGATTCTAGTGCGGACCAAAAAAGGGTCCTGCACCTTTTTGGTGTGGTGCGATTAGAGCCATACATAACATATGGCTCCAATCGCACCGCACACAAATTGCATGTGATTTGCACAGGACTGCAGTGTGGTTCCTGTGCAAATCACATGTGATATACCGCACTACACATATGTGAACCTGGGCTTAATAAACACACACTTACCTATCTCAGGGTCCAGCAATGTGCTCACCCACGCCATCCCTTCTCTGCCTCTTCTCTCCCCGGCGCCGGCAACACAACTGTGGGCACCAGGCTGCGACTGCTTGCGGTTTCACTGCTGGGTGCCCACTGCGCATTCACGAGTCGCGCTGCGCATTCTGATTGGTCTGGCAGTCTTCTGGACCTGTGAAGGTTCCCAGGAGACTGCGGGAGGAAAGAGGGGGGCCAAATTCCTGCTCACTTTGCCACGGCAAACTGAGCCAGAAGTGGGAGCGGGTACCTGCCAAAAACAGGTATCCGCTCCCTCCTAAAAGGTGCCAAATATGGAAGTAGAGGGGGGAAGAAGGAAAATACTACTTTTGAGTGCAATTCCGCTTTACAGTGTATGTAGATTCTAACAATGAACTTCTCCTATTCGCTCCCTTTTCTTCAATTACCATTGAAACGTTTGAAATTTGCAAATAAAAAAAAAAAAAAAAAAACAACTTGAGGATTGCACCAGAAATCTTGTGAACTGATAACTCTCTCCAGCTGTATTGCACTCAGTCACATTATTTTCAGTCTATGGAATTTAGAACACCTTTTACTGCTGGTTATACAAGAGTCAATCCAGTCCTTTGAGGAAACCGTTGTATTGATATGGTCTAATGCCCCGTACACACGATAAGAAAATTGTAAAAAAAAATTCGCAGAACCACTGATCAAACGATTTTCTCTTCGTTGATGAGCGATGTTTTAACCGATAACGATATTGTGAACCAAACAGTCAGGTTGAAGTACAGTGAAAAATGTTGTTGTACGAACGACCGATTTTCTATGCGGTGGTATGACTGTTGTACAAAAAAAAATCTGTCAAGCGCGGAAACAGAAGATGACCCGGATGTTTATGTCCAAGGAATCTTTGTAATCATGAATGAAATATCCAAATGTTAAAAGTAGATTGGCCTAATGAGATAATGAAACCAGAATTCTGCATATTATATTTTATGTATCACTATTTATGTATATAGGTAATGTAATAAACTATATTATACTCATTGCTGTTAATTGTTGTGTATATCGCTTGTTCCCGGGCGGCAGGGCGTGGCTACAAGGTCACATGCACACTGCATCACTTCCACTTGTACAGAAGATGTCAACACTACGTATTGCCCAACAAACAATTTTTTTAGATTGGTTAATGTGGGCCACAATTTTGACCACTAACGAATGCCTCTTGGTCCTCAGATAACCGATCGGTCGATTTTCTAACTGTGTATTCCCAACTTAAGAATTATTGACTGTTTTTCACTATCATTTCACCTATCATTAGCAATTTGATGGGATGGAATCAAAAGGAAATGCATTTGGTTAACTGGAAGTCTTAAAAGGCCCATTCAGATATAACCCATGTTATTGTACATTATGTCATGCATTATTATGCTTGCCTCAAGGCAACCCACGCCATTGAACGGGCTGCCAAAATAGCACAATGCAGTCAAAATCAGACCTTCACAATTTTTTGTGACACAGTGCATCACAAAGGTAGTCTGTTTCCAGGCATTGTGGTGTACTGCAACACAGGTGAGCAGGCTTAGTACTTTGATTTGCCATTTGAATAGCACCACAATGCACCACACTATGGTATATGCACATGTGATATGTATTGCAATAACACCTGTTCTGCCATGCATTACTGCTGTGCATTAATGTGAATAGGTCCCATATGTTTCCAAACCAAACGTATGGTATACCAAGCAATTGACTGGCTCTGAAACAATTGGGGAAGAGATATGGAGGGTGTGCATATTGTTCAATATTCTTCATTAAAAGTGATGTTTTACAGTTTTACACTGATTAATCACTTTAAACAAACATACTCACCTGCTGCCTCTAAGACTGAGAAATGAGTGAACAAAGACTGCTGATCGCTTAGTTCTTGGTCTTTAGTGAGCAGAGAGCTGTGACAGTCACTGGCTCTCTGCTCTGCCCCTCTACAGCTCACTAGAGCGCAGGGCTGTATAGGGGGTGGGAGCAACTAGCTCATCCTCTCAGTGGTGTAATAAAAGGGCTGAGCCAGCTGCCAGTCCAGGCATCTGGTTGGATCCCGACAATAAAGTCAGGATCTCTTCAGAGCCTGGACTGGCTGAGTGATGTCAGCTGACAATGAACTTTAGCCTGCTGTCAGTTGAATACGGGTGACAGGAGTTCAGGACTAAGTGCACTCCTGTCACCCACAGGATACGTAGGCCCAAAAGAATCTCTGTGTGTATGACCGACAAAAAAGCTTAAAAAAATAATCAACATACAGAGATAAACAAATATGCTGTCATCACCAACCACTTCCTGAAAATGCTAAGTGCCTGGTTGCCATGGTTATGCGTCGCCTTCAATACCATTTGAGCTACTGACATTGTAGCCAGGACTTCTGATAGTCTACATCTTAAAATGTTAGGTGCCTGTCGGTCATGTCCATCCTCTAGCTTAGGGGTGTATTTGCCACAAGGCAAACAAGGCATTTGCCTAGGGCAGCATTTTTCAGGGGGGCAGCAGCGCCCCCCGGAAGAAGGAATGGAAGAAGGGAAACATGTGACATGGGGACCAAGTGAGATCCGACAGAGGTTGATGTCTGCTTGATGGTGTATATCGAGCCTGACTCTCATTCCGGGGGATGTCTGGAGCTGTGAAGGTGAGTGTATTTCTCTCTCTCACCATTGGGGTGTTAGTGGAAGGCTCTCTCGGGGGGGTGGGTAGGGGTGTTGTTGGTCAATGTCAGGCTCTCTACATATGGGGAAACCCAATTTTTGTGTTGCCTAGGGCCTAGCACCACTGCTCTAGATATGATGTTTTCTCAGTCACTGACCCACAGCAAGCAGACAACAAGGGGCTTCAAGACTCCAGATCTTCAAATGTGTTCCAGTTCAGTCATTTAAAGTACTGAAGCCTGAGGATACGCATAAGTGCCAGGAAAGTACAAGTTCAGAAGGAAGGAGGTGGCGTTGACAGCCCCACATATTTCAGGAACGGCTCAGTTGAAGAACAAAGATAAGATTGAACTTGGCTGAAACTAGTAGAGCTGGAGGCCAGAAAACTTTGGTGCAGAAATAAATGCTGAACAAACCTTTTCAGCCTTCGCAGGCACAGCACCTGGAGGTCATAAACCAAGCACACGCCGAACACTGTAATTCCAGTCTCCTTCACCAGCATGGCACAGGTGCCCAGGAGTAGACTGAGCAGCAGGAGGAAAGGTGATCTTATACCGGGAAAACAATCTGTGGCCGCATCCATCTCCACACTCCTGGAACAACAAGACATACATGGCAGATGCATACAAGATGTCGTCAATGCGATGATCCAGTGCTGGGCTGCATTCCGCGGTAACCATTCATCTATCATTGTTCTCAAAGTGAATTCTGATTGTATATCATTAGCAACAGGTAACCTAAGTGCCCTTCTCCTCACTGGCTGTCATTCACTTTTGATGGTTCAATGCGAGAATAGATCTGTGTTCTCCTCCTTCTGCTTTTGTTGCAATGGGGGTTATTTACTAAAACTGTAGAGTGCAAAATCTGGTGCAGCTCTGCATAGAACCAATCAGATTTCAGGTTTTATTGTCAAAGCTTAACTGAACAAGCTGGAGTTAGAAGCTGATTGGTTACTGTGCACAGCTGCACCAGATTTAGTAAATCTTCCCCAATGTATCATTGGTAATGTCAAACTGATACAAGAGCACTAGTCTTCTTTTCATTCTTTATTGACTGAGCTCTATTTTATTCACTTTTAAACTGGCCATACATGGATTGAAGTACAATGGGGATCATCCGAATTTCGATCCATGTGTGGGCACAGCGATTCCAACCAGCCTCTTAGAAAAAATCCACTTGATCAGTGCTGCAGGCTGTAGCCTGCAGCGCTGATCAGTGTACTCTGATGACAGGGAAGTCTCCCGCTGTCAGAATACAAAGACACAGCGGGAGGGTAACCCTATCCACATGGAGAGTGTGGGTGGAGGAATCACTTCAGTTTTTTTAGTTTAACCCACTGGTTGAATGAAAAAACCAGACTCTTCTATGACGAGCCTTTGCAGTTCAATCCAGAAAGTGATCTGTGTTCTGTTCTTCTGTTGCAACATGTATCATTGGCAACATGTCATCTGAGACAAGAACACTACCCTTCTCTTCTCATGTTATTGGCTGACTTCAGTGTCATTCACCTGTTAGTACAAGAATAGGGCTGTGTTCTTCCCCTTCTTCTCTTTTGCTTCTGTTACAATGTATTATTGGTAATATGTAAACTGTCTCATGAAATACACCCAGGTTTACATAGAAGACATACCTTATGTATGACAGAAACGCCAAGAGGAACAGCAAACAAGCTAAGACATCCGCTCTGCCCACAATGCCCGCCACCTGTGTGGGAACCATAAAAGATGCTGATCAGAGACATTTGTGAATTCAGTCATTCTTTATTTTATACTCAGTGTCAGAACTGTAATCTGAGAGGAAGTTATTGTTCTCTGTGCACTGAACTGGCTGCATTCAGAGTCACTCAGCTGTCAGGATGGGGATTTGGTGTTGAGTTTTCTCCATTGTCTTCTACTCCTACTACCGTGTATATATGATAATATGTACCCTAAGACAAGAGCATTCCTCTTGCCCTCACACGCCTTTGGCTGGTCTCTATGCCATTCCCTTATCGGTTGTCATGTCCTACAAGTGACCCGTGTCTTCCCTTATCTTGCCATGAGCTTCTGTTACAATGTATCCTAAGAGAAGAGTATTCCTCTTGCCCTCACACTCCATTGGCTGGTCTCTATGCCATTCCCTTATCGGTTTTCATGTCCTACAAGTGACCCGTGTCTTCCCTCATCTTGCCATGAGCTTCTGTTACAATGTATCGTAAGAGAAGAGTATTCCTCTTGCCCTCACACGCCTTTGGCTGGTCTCTATACCATTCCCTTATCGGTTTTCATGTCCTACAAGTGACCCGTGTCGTCCCTCATCTTGCCATGAGCTTCTGTTACAATGTATCCTAAGAGAAGAGTATTTCTCTTGCCCTCACACTCCATTGGCTGGTCTCTATGCCATTCCCTTATCGGTTTTCATGTCCTACAAGTGACCCATGTTTTCCCTCATCTTGCCATGAGCTTCTACTACAATGTACCTAAGAGAAGAGTATTCCTCTTGCCCTCACACTCCATTGGCTGGTCTCTATACCATTCCCTTATTGGTTTTCATGTCCTACAAGTGACCCGTGTCTTCCCTCATCTTGCCATGAGCTTCTGTTACAATGTATCCTAAGAGAAGAGTAGTCACCTTGTCCCCTCCTAATATTGGCGGGCCTCTATGTCATAAGTCTAGAATTGCGCTGTGTCTTCCCCCCTCTTCCATTTTGCTTTTGTTACCATATATTACTAAGGCAGGCTATATACATTCATCTTTTTTTTTTTTTTTTTTCGTTCAACCAGGCTGAAGGAAAGAAAGGAGCCAATTCCCTCATCCACACACTCATTGTGAATGAGGGAATCCTTCCTGATGAGCTATTGTATTCTGGCAATAAGTAGACTTCCCCACCATCAGAATACACTGATCAGCATAGCAGGCTATAGCTGACAGCACTAATCTTTCAGGGAAAACCCAACAGGCTGGTTGTACAGAAGCTGACTGATAGATCGACTTCTGTACAACCAGCCTGATCATACTGTACATGGAAAAAAATATGTCCGGTCCCTGCTGAATCAGCCAAATTTTGATCCATGTAGGGACGCCTTAACATTCATTACCTGAGACAAGAACGCTGGTCTTCTTTTCACACATTATTGGCTGGCCTCTTTGTCATTCACTTTTAGTGTTTGAGTCTAATGCATGCTATACATATTTAGTTTTTTATTTTTTAACCTAGCGGGCTGAACAAAATGAACTGAATAAAACAATGTTAGCACAGCGATCTCTCTTGCTGTGACCCCCCCCCCCACCAGAACACACTAAGCAGCACTCGCAGTCATTGGCTGTGAACTCTGATCAGATGCTGGTTTTCCAGCATGTCCCTTCAGCAAATGCTGGTCCTTAGACTATCTTCTATCAGAAGGACAGCTATACACATGGTCTGAATGTCTGCTGGTTACTGCTGAATCAGCCAATATTCGGACTGTGTGTACCAACATTAGAATTAAGCTATGTTCTATTTCTTAAGACATTATGCAAGAGTCTTTAAATTTTCTAAACAAAAGGCCAGTTTACTGTTCTTCAAGCTTTAGGGGGGCTTGACTTTGGCTGATTAGAGTAGAAAATTCCCTGACGTCAGTTGCAGTAAATAATGTCCCAACATTCATTTTAGTGGGAGGAATAGTGCCCCATTGTTGGCATCAGTGGGAGCAATAATATCCTATCATTGGTATCAGTTGGAAGATTAGTGCCCCATCATTGGTGTCAGTGGGAGGAATACTGCCCCATCATTGGTGTCAATGGGAGAAAAAGTGCCCATCACTATTGTCAGTTGGAAGAATGGTGCCCCATTATTGGAGTCAGTGGGAGGAGTAGTGACCTATCATTGATGTCAGTGGAAGGAATTGTGTCCCATCATTGGTGTCACTGGGATGAATAGTGCTCCATTATTAGTGTCAGTTGGAGGAATAGTGCAGCAAGGGCCAAATAAAGGCAAGCACAGGGCTGCAGTTTGGAGACCATTGCCCTCATGAATCTGTTATACTGTGCCATTGGCAATATGTACTTGAGATGAGCACTCCTATTCTTGTGATATACTATTGGTTGGTCTGTCTGTCATTTGCTTGTTAGTGATGAAGTTCTTCAACTGAACATTGCCCTCCCCCTTCTTCCCTTGTGTTTCTGTTATACTGTATTATTGGCAACATATAGTCAGAGAAGAGTGCTACCCTTCTCCTCCCACATTACTGGCTGGCTACTGTGTGATTCACTTGTTAATTATTTTTCTCTTTTATAAGGCCATGGTGGGTGTGCAAGAACTAAATACCAGTAAAGCATGGAATGAAATTTGGCCAGTCCAGTAGGGATTTTCTAGGTTCTGGATGTGCATCTAGTCAATAGGGTGTAAGGAAATGACAGGGCACCCCACACAATTCTGATATAAGGATTACTTATCCTTTTTTTGCAATATTTGATAGAATGAGACATTGGAATACCTAATTGGTAAGATGTAATTTATGACATGAGAATTACCCTTCTCACACGTTATTGGCTGATCTTCACTTGTTAGTGATCATGTCCTAGAACTGCATTCTAGCTCCTCTCCTTTGCCCATTTCTTCTTTTACAATGTATTGTGTAACCTATTTTCCTTACTCCGTGGATGCAGAGTCCAGGCCTGAGCGGTCAATCATCAGGCCCAAAAACACTCCCACATGGAGTAAGGAAGCAGGTCCTTAGCCTAGGCCTGAGCTGTTAATCATCAGGCCCAAACACTATCACATGGAGTAGAGAAGCAGGTCCTTAGCCCAGGCCTGAGCGGTCAATCATTAGGCACAAACACTGTCACATGGAGTAGGGAAGCAGGTCCTTAGCCCAGGCCTGAGCGGTCAATCATCAGGCCCAAACACTGTCACATGGAGTAGACAAGCAGGTCCTTAGCCCAGGCCTGAGCGGTCAATCATCAGGCCCAAACACTGTCACATGGAGTAGGGAAGCAGGTCCTTAGCCCAGGCCTGAGTGGTCAATCATCAGGCCCAAACACTGTCATATGGAGTAGGGAAGCAGGTCCTTAGCCCAGGCCTGAGTGGTCAATCATCAGGCCCAAACACTGTCACATGGAGTAGGGAAGCAGGTCCTTAGCCCAGGCCTGAGCGGTCAATCATTAGGCACAAACACTGTCACATGGAGTAGGGAAGCAGGTCCTTAGCCCAGGCCTGAGTGGTCAATCATCAGGCCCAAACACTGTCACATGGAGTAGGGAAGCAGGTCCTTAGCCCAGGCCTGAGCGGTCAATCATTAGGCACAAACACTGTCACATGGAGTAGGGAAGCAGGTCCTTAGCCCAGGCCTGAGTGGTCAATCATCAGGCACAAACACTGTCACATGGAGTAGGGAAGCAGGTCCTTAGCCCAGGCCTGAGTGGTCAATCATCAGGCCCAAACAAACTGTCACATGGAGTAGGGAAGCAGGTCTTTAGCCCCCAGGCCTGAGCGGTCAATCATTAGGCACAAACACTGTCACATGGAGTAGGGAAGCAGGTCCTTAGCCCAGGCCTGAGTGGTCAATCATCAGGCCCAAACACTGTCACATGGAGTAGGGAAGCAGGTCCTTAGCCCAGGCCTGAGCGGTCAATCATCAGGCCCAAACACTGTCACATGGAGAAGGGAAGCAGGTCCTTAGCCCTGTGTAAACTCTGACCATGACACGGAGCTTACACATGGATTAGAACCAGGGCTTCAAAAGACAAATACAGTGGTGGTGAGGGAGCATGGCAACGGTGATCAATTTGTGAGATGAGCTATTAAGAGCACTTGTCACTTTGCTGCAAATCGGCAAAATGGCAGATTCTCTTTGAGGTATTGATTTTCTACAGAATAACAAATTAAATGTCTATACAAATGACTCTTACAGCCTCCGTGTGAACCGGGTGCACAGCAAAAAGGAGTGCAGCACCCAATGCCGGTCTGCGGTCTTCAAATACGGTCCTACTGCACACGTAGCAGAGCAAGGAGCTGACCAGGCAGTGTAACACGACATTCACCATATGGAAATAGAAGGGATCCAGACCCCACAAGTGGACATTCATTCTGCGACAGGAGAAAAGAAAAGAAAAAAAAATGTTAAAGTGCATCTAAACCCAAGAATAAAAATATAATATATGGCAGTTTACCCGTCCTTAGATGTGATGGCTGTGTTAGTTTTCTATTTTTCAGGCTAAATGCATTTTCTGCAAGGATGCAGGATCAAAATACCTGTTGATCCTGCCTGAATTCCAGTGTGGTTGTAATTTCCTCTGATGTGAACTGGACTGAAACCTGTAATAGTGTTATTAGCCTTCCCAGCTATTTTCTTTGAATTATAGACAATCTCCTGCTTACTGTAAATTATAGAAAGGGGGCAGTGTGAAGTCCGAATCAGGAGCAAGAAGGGTGATGACATTACTTCTTGCTAGATACAGTACAGTGAGCTAGTGTTGTCACCTAGCACAGGAAGTGCTACTCACAAGATCACCAGGGGAAAATAATGTAAAAGAAGGCTTAACAAAGAAAACTAATGCAGCCTTCACACAGGTAAGCTGCAATATATATTATTTTTTTTGGTTTAGATAAGCTTTACATTTGAGATATAAGAACATATTAAGATATATGGAGTGTTAGTGGGTAGTCTATATATGTATAGACAGAACTTCATTTTTTTAATCTTATGAAAAAGAATATTTAAAAATTGTCAAGTTTATATTATGCAATTTGTTCCCTGTAAAGAAAAACTTTCCTATACATCCATACAAATATCCCCCCACCTAAACCTAAAGGGGAACTTTGTCTTGTGTGCAGGTAACTTTAACCTGTTGCTACCCACATAACACATATGTGTGCTAGATGTACTGTTTGCGTCGCAGGGAAGCCTATGTTTCAGTGCTGAGTGCAGGGCTGCTATTAGAAACCACGGGGCCCCATACAGCAAACCTGACAGGTCCCCCTCCCACCCAAGAAAAACACAGTTCATTATGCTTCATTATGAATGAACACAGTGAGTGATTGGTACCAATCATTTGTTGTGATCATTTAGGAAAGGAAGGGGCTGCTAAATGTGACATATGTCCCACTCTCCATCCTGAAGGATCCTATTGTGTGCTTTCAGCTGCTGGTGGTAAGGAGAGGAGGGAAGCTGGCAACACTGAGGGGGTGGGGACACACGGGGGGCCTGGGCAGCAGGGGGAAATGTATGGTGCAAAAGGAGGGTGATGGGTTCAGTGGGGGGGGGGGGGGGAAATTACTGGAACCAATCCCCTGTATGGTTCTTTCTGCAGCAGCTGAAAACCAGTGAGGGAGTGGAGAAGAAGACAGTTATCAGCTGTTGCAGGGATAGTCATACAGGGGATTGGTTCCAGTAATTTCCCCCCACTGCACCCATCACCCTCCCTTTGCACCATACATTTCCCCCTGCAGTAATTGCCCCCCCCCTCCCCACTGTGCCGATCACCCTCCCTGCCCACATTCGGTTCATCCAGCTGCCTGGGCCCCCCTACTGACCTGGCCCCCCTACAGGAGGACTGGTGGTACCCCCTTATCCACAGCCCTGGCTGAGTGCGCGCTCACTGACCACTCCCAACACAGAGCCAACCCTGACAGCCAATCCTTTTGATTGATCATTTTTGCCCCCTTTTCCTCTTTTAAAACTTTATAAAGGTGAGCAAGCGGGAAGGGGTTACATTTATCTGGCCAAGTGTATTATCCCACTATATCAAATGCATTCATCATGAAAGTCCTTTTTGTTTTATATTAAAAAAAAAAAATCACAAACGCGCCACAAATTTTTAGGATTTCCTCCAAATTTTCAAATAAGAGCAAACATGGCAGGTCTTAGCATTCCCCCTGAAGCCTTAATGCAGGCGAAATCCCACAGAGGGGATCGTATTACATATCGCACAGCACACAACTGTGGCGGGCTGGAGGCGCAGCCTTTGATAATATGTTTACATTTTCAGTGCGGTTTAGTTCTAATTTAAGCCTGAAAGAGCGCATTGTGATCTCCCCGCAGATGTCTGTACTATTTGTAGCTTAACCAGCAATTAGCATCTTCAAAGCACCCCATTTCATTTGAAGCTTGACGCGTGAAATAGCGCTGCCATGATGCCGTGTTCAAAACTCAATCAATTCTTTTTAAAGGGAAAGTGCAGCATGCGTTCACCGAGCACACATTTGAATGTCTTCTTTAAGGCCCCATTTACAGCTGCGTGTCACGTAAATGCGTGTTTGCAGAACATCCATATGACAGCCTTCACTTGAATGGGCTGCACTACATGCGACAAACATGCCAAAGAAACTCCTGCACTTTTTTTGGGTGTAGATCTTTGTGCGTTTTGTTGCACGTTTTATCACAATTTTGCGCACAAAAACGTGTCTGCTGGCCACTTTTGGTGTTTCATTAACAATGTGTGCTTTTGTGTGCGTTCACTGAACACACAGATGTCAATGGAGCCTCAAGCTGAATTACAACCTTCCCATCAATCTTGAACAGTTGTGCAAGCTCCTCTCCTGAACTGAAATTGTTTACTCTGATTTCACTGCACACTGTGAGCACCACACAGTGTGCATTAGAAGGAAGTCAGAAAGAGCCCGCCTATTTTCCTGGGTGGATGACATCCAGCATCATCTAGGACTTTCCTCCCCAGCCTGACTGCCCCTGACCCACACCTTTTATCCATAGGATTGCACTTCTTTCAATCATAGCATCACAGTCTGTGAACGAATTCCCTCTCCTCCAGGCAGACCTCCACCCATCAAGACATTTTGACACTAAATAAGGGCATGTTTCCACTGATGCGCTTTTGCTGCACTGGTACGCACCTTACCAGCAGGACAAAAGCACAACAAAAATGATTTGCCTATAAAGCCTATGAGACGTTTCACATTGCTGTGCTGCGTTTGTACTGTGGTTTCAAAAGTCCTGCATGGTGCATCTTTGGTGAGCGTTCAAAGAGCTCATCAAAGATGTACCTTCCATTGACCTCAATGGGAGCCACAACAAAGCTGCACCAAAACGCAGGGTGCGTTTTTACATGTACTATTCCTGACTGTTAAGGAGCGTTACCCTTAACAACCAGTAAACAGCTGATTGTTAAGGAGCTGGCACATGCCAGCTTCCTTAACAATCAGCGAGGATGTAAACAGTGCAAACCCCCCCCCCCCCCCCCCCCCGCACAGCCTCCTGTACTTGGTGCTCACCAGTAGCTCAGTCCGGCCTTCCCGTTGCCTCCTCCCCTCAGATTTTGGGAGCCGATGCTCCCTGCTATACTGCAGCTGTCTCTCCATCTCCTCCCCCCCTCTGGTGGCAGCATCGCTCTGGAGCTGTCTCCTTAACAACCACTCTCCTGCATCCTTAACAACCAATGAATGGCTGATTGTGGAGCTGGCCCAATGGAGTCCTTAACAACCAGCTATTCACGGCTTTAGGTGTTGCCTGCAATGCATATGATATGCGCTATGTGTTTTTTTAAAAACACAATGGAGACAATTTACTAAAGGTTATTGCATGCGTTATGTCGGTCACGTGACCAAATATCACATGCGATACTGAAAATGTCAATTCACTTTTGCTAGTATACAGTATTAATGCAAATATCAACGCTTGCTAAAAAGACATTAAAGTCAATTCACAGAAGGAAAGAAATAATTAAATGCATGTGTTAATTAAGTAGTGGTTGAGGCATGCGGTACGCACTGGTTGTTAAGAAGCAGGTGGTAGCTGGCATCCTTAACATCCAGTAACTGTCATGTTGTTAAGGAGCGGGTGGCCGCCGCGTCCTTAACAACCAGTGAGTCATCAGCTGTCAGTGGGGTTCCCCCACAATCATTACCAGGTCCTTTGAGTCTGGCAGGGATTTGGGGGGACTCCATTACATTTTTTTTTTATTTTGGCATGGGGGTTCCCCTCAAAATCCATACCAGATCCAAAAGGCCTGGTATAGATTGGTGGGAGTGCTCCACACCATTTATTTTTCTTAATGTTTTAATTGCCTTTTTTTTTCTTTTTTGTTTTACATTCAGCTGTCAGCACTCACAGCTGATCAGTCGTAACATTACTGCATGTTTCTCTACTAAAATACCACATGACTTCATAAAATAACTAATGTGGTATTAAGGTAGTGTTTTTTAGTGAATGCCAACAAACATTTGGAAAAACACTTCGTGGTATCTTATTGCATACTTGAATGCGGCAAGATACCGCTTTGTGAATTGTCCCCATAGTGTGTTTTTTTAAGTGCTGCAATGTAAAAATACATGCACTGTAGTGTGAAAGCAGCCTAACGTTTCCCAAGATCCAGTCCACTGCTTAAATCAGCCAGCCCTTCCCATCAGCCATGATCTGCCTACATTGCATAGTGACGCAGGTCGATGCAGTGATGACATCACTGGGTCTACAATAAGGTATGTGATGAAAATGAAACCATTAAATTTAAAATTGCATTAGCGTGTTGTTGCGGGCAGAAAGAAGGAACCATGGAAGGCAAAATAGAAGCTGATTAAATTTCAGCTTTGAAGCAAACCTGTGCCTTGCTTTTCCAGGTTTGCTTACTTCCCTGATCCTCAGCACATACTCATTATTCTTTCACTCTGCCACTCCATTCAGCACCATAGCTGAAACACATACCTGATACTTCCAGGTATGGAGGAGCATGTGGCTCACATGACTGATTTGGGTTGGAGAGCCCATCACCCTGTGTAAGCTTTTATTCCAGAGACTTGAAGATAAATCCTAGTACTAGCTTTTTTTCATTCAGCCCAGAGGAGCTCAGAAGGAGCTGCTGTGCTAACTATCCAGTGTTAGTACAGTGATCTCCCCTGTTGTGCTATTGTGTTCTGACAAGGGGAACGCACACCCCCCACACCAGAACACTCTGTTCGGCGCTCTCAGCCACTGGCCGGCTTCTATCGGACTGGCTGCCATATGCACAAGCCGAATGTTGGCCAGTTTCTATTGAACCGATCGATGCCGTCCGACATTCAGCCTGTGTATACTATGCTTTCAGCTGGACCCTCCTTTGCTTTTTACTGTTCAGGGGTTGGGGCAAAAGGATGGTAAG